ATTGGGAAGATCCCAGTGGGATGAGGAGAAGGGAAAAGCTGAAGAGAACGGGAAGATCCAGGTAGGATGAGGAGGATGGAAAAGCTGAAGAGAGTGGAAAGTTCCCAGTGGGATCAGGAGAATGGAAGGATCCTGGTGGGATGAGGAGGGTGGAAAAGCCCTGGTGGGATGGGGAAACCAGAAAGATCCAGGTGGGATGAGAAGATCGGGAAGATCCAGGTTGGATGGGGAGGACGGAAAAATCCAGGTGGGATGGGGAAACTGGAAAAATCCCAGTGGGATGAGGAGGATGGAAAGATCCTGGTGGGATCAGGAGGATGGAAAATCTGAAGAGGATGGAAAGATCCCAGTGGGATGAGAATTGGAAAGATCCCAGTGGGATGAGGAGATTGGAAAGATCCCAATGGGATGAGATCGGAAAAGTCGGGAGCATGGGAAGATCCTGGTGGGATGAGGTTGGAAAGATCCTGGTGGGATGAGGAGGGTGGAAAGATCCAGGTGAGATCAGGAGGATGGAGAAGCTGAAGAGGATGGAAAGATCCCAATGGAATGAGGAGATTGGAAAGATCCCAATGGGATGAGATCGGAAAAGTCGGGAGCATGGGAAGATCCTGGTGGGATGAGGTTGGAAAGATCCTGGTGGGATGAGGAGGGTAGAAAGGTGGGTAGGATGGGGAAACCGGAAAGATCCAGGTGGGATGAAAAGGATGGAAAGATCCTGGTGGGATGAGGAGATTGGGAAGATCCAGGTGGGATGGGGAGAGTGGGAAGATCCAGGTGGGATCAGGAGGATGGAAAAACTGGAGATTGGAAAGATCCCAATGGGATGAGATCGGAAAAGTCGGGAGCATGGGAAGATCCCAGTGGGATGAGGTTGGAAAGATCCTGGTGGGATGAGAAGGGTGGAAAGATGTGGATGGGATGGGGAAACCAGAAAGATCCAGGTGGGATGAGGAGATTGGGAAGATCCTGATTGGATGGGGAGGATGGAAAGATCCAGGTAGGATCAGGAGATTGGAAAGATCCCAATGGGATGAGATCGGAAAAGTCGGGAGCATGGGAAGATCCCAGTGGGATGAGGTTGGAAAGATCCTGGTGGGATGAGAAGGGTGGAAAGATGTGGATGGGATGGGGAAACCAGAAAGATCCAGGTGGGATGAGGAGATTGGGAAGATCCTGATTGGATGGGGAGGATGGAAAGATCCAGGTAGGATCAGGAGATTGGAAAGATCCCAATGGGATGAGGAAAATGGAAAATCTGGGAACGTGGGAAGATCCTGGTGGGATGAGGAGGGTGGAGAAACCCCGGTGGAATTGGGAGATTGGGAAGATCCAGGTGGGGTGGGGAGGATGGAAAGATCCCAATGGATTGAGATTGGAAAAATCCAGATGGGATCAGGAGGATCCATGGAAAGCTGAGGTGGCTCGAAAAGCTCCGGTGGGATGAGGAGATTGAAAAGATCCAGATGGCATCTGGAGGATCCATGGAGAGCCAAGGAGGGTGGATTCCCATTCCCCATTCCCATTCCCCATTCCCATTCCCCATTCCCATTCCCCATTCCCATTGTCCCATTACCCCATTTTCCCCCCTCCCTATTTTTCCCAATCCCACCCCCATTATCCCATTCCCCATTGTCCCATCCCCATGTTCCCCCTCCCCGTTTCCCCCAATCCCCATTCCCGCGGCATTCCGGCAGGAGCTGGCCTGGCGGCAGCAGGAGCCGTCGGAGCGGCGCCTGAGCTTCGTGCCGCGGCGCTTCCCGAGCCTGCGCGCCGTGCCCGCCTACCCGCGCTTCATCCACGAGCGCTTCGAGCGCTGCCTCGACCTCTACCTCTGCCCCCGCCAGCGCAGGATGCGGGTGGGCACCGTCCCAGAAACCCCCAAAACCCGGGAACGCGGCGCCGGGAGCGCCGGCACGGCCTCCCCGCCCCTCCCGGGAATTCCTGTCCGGAGCCGGGGACGGATCCCCGGGAGCGGCTGGGATCGCTGTGGTGTCCGTCCCGCAGGTCAACGTGGATCCTGAGGATCTCATTCCCAAACTGCCCAGGCCGAGGGATCTGCAGCCCTTCCCCACCACCCAGGCCCTGGTGAGGGATTTTTTGGGGAATGTTCCCCTGGAATTTGGTGGAAATCTGGGATTTGGGGCCTCGGGAAGCAGGGCCAAGGATTCCTGGGAGAGGCTGGGAAAAGGGGCCGATCCCAGCGGGAATTCCTGCAGCTCTGGGAAATGTTCCCGTGAATCCCTGGAAAATGGGGCTGGGGAGGGTCTCCCTTTCCCGGGATTTTTGGGAATGGCTCCGGAAAACTTCCCAGGAGTGGCTGAGGGAGCTTGGCAGGGCTTATTCCGGAGAAAAATGGGATTGAAGGGATCCAGGGGGATCCAGGGTGGGATCTGCTCCCAGGGAATAGGGACAGGACCTGGAAGACAGCCTCAGGTTGGGATTTTCAGGAATATTCCCCTGGAATTTGGTGCAAACTGGGATTTGGGGCCTCGGGAAGCAGGGCAGGGACTGAGGCCGAGGATTCCCAGTAGAAGCTGGGAAAAGGGGCTGATCCCAGCGGGAATTCCTGCGGCTCTGGGAAATGTTCCCGTGAATCCCCGGAAAATGGGACTGGAGAGGGTCTCCCTTTCCCGGGATTTTTGGGAATGGCTCCAGAAAACTTCCTAAGAGAAGCTGAGGGAGCTGTTGGGGCTCATCCCAGAGAAAAGCGGGATTGAAGGGATCCAGGGTGGGATCTGCTCCCAGGGAACAGGGACATATGGCTGGGATCGGCTTTCCCGGGATCCCGCTGGGAGCGCCATTCCCGGGATATGGCTGGGATCGGCATTCCCGGGATCTGGTTGGGATCAGCATTCCCGGGATCTGGGTGGGATCAGCATTCCCATTCCCATCCGTGGACCCACCAACCACTCTCTCTCCGTCTCCCCTTCCCCGATCCCACTGTTCCCACCATGGGAGCTCCAGGATGATCCAGAAAGTCAGGATCTTACCTGGATCCCATTCCTGTTTGCATTCCCAGTCTCATTCCCATTCCCACCGTGGGAGCTCCAGGATGATCCAGAAAGTCAGGATCTTACCTGGATCCCATTCCTGTTTGCATTCCCAGTCTCATTCCCATTCCCACCGTGGGAGCTCCAGGATGATCCAGAAAGTCAGGATCTTACCTGGATCCCATTCCTGTTTGCATTCCCAGTCTCATTCCCATTCCCACCGTGGGAGCTCCAGGATGATCCAGAAAGTCAGGATCTTACCTGGATCCCATTCCTGTTTGCATTCCCAGTCTCATTCCCATTCCCACCGTGGGAGCTCCAGGATGATCCAGAAAGTCAGGATCTTACCTGGATCCCATTCCTGTTTGCATTCCCAGTCTCATTCCCATTCCCACCGTGGGAGCTCCAGGATGATCCAGAAGATCAGGATCTCACCCAGATCCCATTCCTGTTCTCATCCCCCTCCCATTCCCATCCCAATCCCATTCCTGATCCCATTCTTGATCCCATTCCCACTCCAGCCGGTGACGCCGGTGACGTGGCACGGCCAGGGCGATTCCTGGGCTCAGTGCTGATCCAGAGATTGAGACTTTGGGATCTCACCCAAATCCTATTCCCATTCCTATCTCAGAGACTTCCAGGATGATCCAGAAGATCTGGATCTTGGGATCTCACCCAGATCCCATTCCTTATCCCATTCCCAGCCAGTGACACAGCATGGCCAGGATTATTCCTGGTCCTTGGTGGTGATCCAGAGGATCAGGATTTTGGGATCTCACCCGGATCCCTTTCTCAATCCCTTTCTCATTCCCATTCCCAGCTGGTGATGCAGGTGACGTGGCACGGCCAGGGCGATTCCTGTGCCCCGGTGGTGATCCAGAGGGTCGGGATTTCGGGATTTCACCCGGATCCCAATCCCATTCCCAATCCCAATCCCATTCCGTTCCAGCCGGTGACGCAGGTGATGTGGCACGGCCAGGGCGATTCCTGTGCCCCGGTGGTGATCCAGAGGGTCGGGATTTCGGGATCTCACCTGGATCCCAATCCCATTCCCATTTCCATTCCCGTTCCAGCCGGTGATGCAGGTGACATGGCACAGGCAAGGCAATTCCTGTGCCCCGGTGCTGATCCAGAGGGTCGGGATTTCGGGATCTCACCCAGATCCCAATCCCAATCCCGTTCCAGCCGGTGACGCAGGTGACGTGGCACAGCCAGGGCGATTCCTGTGCCCCAGCAATGATCCAGAGAGTCAGGATTTCGGGATCTCACCCAGATCCCATTCCCAATCCCATTTCCATTCCGTTCCAGCCGGTGATGCAGGTGACGTGGCACGGCAAGGGCGATTACTGGGCCTCGGTGGTGCGGAACCCCGGCAGCCGGCAGGTGCTGATCCACCAGAGCAGCCGGCGCTGGAGCCAGGATCCCTTCCGGAAGAGCCCGGGGATGATCCAGTGCGTGCAGTTCCACCCGCTCCGGCCCTACTTCCTGGTGGCTTCCCAGCGCTCCGTGCGCATCTACAACCTGCTGCGCCAGGAGCTCACCAAGAAACTCCAGAGCAACTGCCAGTGGATCTCCAGCATGGCCGTGCACCCCGGAGGTGCGGGATCTGCCCGGGAACGCCGGGATCTGCCAGATCCGAGCTCCTGCAAAGGGATGGGATGTGCTGTACCCCAAAATGGGATGTGCTGTACCCCAAAATGGGATGTGCTGTGCCCCAAACAGGGATGTGCTGTACCCCAAAATGGGATGTCCTGAACCCCCAAACAGGGATGTGCTGTACCCCAAAACGGGATGTCCTGAACCCCCAAACAGGGATGTCCTGTACCCCCAAACAGGAGGTTATCCCGTGTCATTATCCCAGTTTTCCCCTGGTTGTTTTCCCAGGTTGTTATCCCACATTTTCCTTTGTTATCCTGGTTTTTCCCGGGCTTTTATCCCAGATTATCCCAGGTTATCCCTCGTTACCCACTGTCCTTATCCCACTTTATCCTGGGCTGTTCGCCTCTGTTTTCCTGGGTCATTATCCTGGTTTTTCCTGGCGATTATCCCGGTTTTTCCCGGTGATTATCCCAATTTTCCCAGGATGTTATCCCAGTTTTTTCCTGGGTGGCTATCCCGATTTACCCAGGATGTTATCCTGATTTTTCCCAGCAGTTATCCTGGTTTTTCCTGGTGCTGATTCCTGTTTTTCTGGGTGCTGATTCCCACTTTTCCTGGTGTTTTTCCCGTTTTTCCGGGCTCTTGATTCCCATTTTCCTGGGCTCTAATTCCTGTTCTTTCCCAGTGCTAATTCCCATTTTTCCCGCTGTTAATTCCCATTTTTCCTGGCTCTGATTCCCGTTTTTCTTGGTGTTAATTCCCATTTCCCGGGCTCTGATTCCCATTTTTCCTGGCTCTGATTCCCATTTTCCCGGGCTCTGATTCCCGTTTTTCCCGGTCTCTCTCCTGGTGTTTTTCCCGGTGTTTTTCCTGGCTGTGATTCTCATTTTTCCCAGTGTTTTTCCCGGTGTCTCTCCTCTTTTTTCCCAGGCTGTGATTCCCATTTTTCTGTGTTTTTCCCCATGTTTTTCCCGTTTTCCTGGGCTGTGATTCCCATTTTTCCCAGTGTTTTTCCCAGTGTTTTCCCGCCGTGACTCACATTTTTCCCGGTGTTTTTCCTGGAGCATTTCCTGGCTGTGATTCCTGTTTTTCCCGGCGGTGATTCCTGTTTTTCCCAGTGTTTTTCCCAGTGTTTTTCCCAGTGTCTTTCCTGGCTGTGACTCCCGGTGTTTTCCTGGACGTGATTCCCGTTTTTCCCGGTGTTTTCCCAGCTGTGATTCCCATTTTTTCCTGTGACTCTCCCGGTGTTTCTTTTCCTGGTGTCTCTCCCGGTGTTTTTCCTGGCTGTGATTCCTGTTTTTCCCAGCTGTGATTCCCGTTTTTCCCTGTGACTTTCCCTGTTCTGTCCCAGTGTTTTTCCCGGTGTCTGTCCCAGTGTCTCTTTTCCTGGTGTTTCCCCGGCTGTGATTCCCAGTGTTTTTCCCGGTGTCTCTTTTCCCGGTGTTGTCCTGCCATGATTCCCTTCTTTCCCAGCCGTGATTCCCATTTTCCCCAGTGTCTCTTTTCCCCAGTGTCTCTTTTCCCGGTGTCTCTTTTCCCGGTGTTTGTCCCGCTGTCTCTCCCAGTGTCTCTTTTCCCGGTATCTCTCCCGGTGTTTCCCCGGCTGTGATTCCCACTGTCTCTTTTCCCAGTGTTCTCCACGGTGATTCCCGGTGTTTTCGCGGTGTCCCTGTGGTGATCCCCACTGTCTCTTTTCCCACTGTCTCTTTTCCCAGTGTTTTTCCTGGTGTTTTTCCTGGTCTCTCCTTTCCTGGTGTTTCCCGGCTGTGATCCCCGCTGTCTCTCTTCCTGGTGTTCCCACGGTGATTCCCGGCTGTCTCTTTTCCCGCTGTCTCTTTTCCCGGTGTCTGTCCCGGTGTCTGTCCCGGTGTTTGTCCCGCTGTCTCTTTTCCCACTGTCTCCTTTCCCGCTGTCTCTTTTCCCGGTGTCTGCCCCGGTGTCTGTCCTGCTGTCTGTCCCGGTGTTTGTCCCTCTGTCTCTTTTCCCGCTGTCTCCTTTCCTGGTGTCTGTCCCGCTGTCTGTCCCGCTGTCTCCTTCGCGGTGTTCCCCGCGGTGGTGGCGGCTGTCTCTTTTCCCGCTGTCTGTCCCGCTGTCTGTCCTGCTGTCTCCCTTCGCGGTGTTGTCCCCGCGGTGATTGCCAGTGTCTCCCTCGCGGTGTTCCCCGCGGTGATGCCGGCTGTCTCTTTTCCCGCTGTCTCTTTTCCCGGTGTCTGTCCCGGTGTCTGTCCCGGTGTTTGTCCCGCTGTCTCTTTTCCCACTGTCTCCTTTCCCGCTGTCTCTTTTCCCGGTGTCTGTCCCGGTGTCTGTCCCGGTGTTTGTCCCGCTGTCTCTTTTCCCAGTGTCTGTCCCGGTGTCTGTCCCGGTGTTTGTCCCGCTGTCTCTTTTCCCACTGTCTCCTTTCCCGCTGTCTCTTTTCCCGGTGTCTGTCCCGGTGTCTGTCCCGGTGTCTGTCCCGCTGTTTGCAGTGTCTCTTTTCCCGGTATCTCTCCCGGTGTTTCCCCGGCTGTGATTCCCACTGTCTCTTTTCCCAGTGTTCTCCACGGTGATTCCCGGTGTTTTCGCGGTGTCCCTGTGGTGATCCCCACTGTCTCTTTTCCCACTGTCTCTTTTCCCAGTGTTTTTCCTGGTGTTTTTCCTGGTCTCTCCTTTCCTGGTGTTTCCCGGCTGTGATCCCCGCTGTCTCTCTTCCTGGTGTTCCCACGGTGATTCCCGGCTGTCTCTTTTCCCGCTGTCTCTTTTCCCGGTGTCTGTCCCGGTGTCTGTCCCGGTGTTTGTCCCGCTGTCTCTTTTCCCACTGTCTCCTTTCCCGCTGTCTCTTTTCCCGGTGTCTGCCCCGGTGTCTGTCCTGCTGTCTGTCCCGGTGTTTGTCCCTCTGTCTCTTTTCCCGCTGTCTCCTTTCCTGGTGTCTGTCCCGCTGTCTGTCCCGCTGTCTCCTTCGCGGTGTTCCCCGCGGTGGTGGCGGCTGTCTCTTTTCCCGCTGTCTGTCCCGCTGTCTGTCCTGCTGTCTCCCTTCGCGGTGTTGTCCCCGCGGTGATTGCCAGTGTCTCCCTCGCGGTGTTCCCCGCGGTGATGCCGGCTGTCTCTTTTCCCGCTGTCTCTTTTCCCGCTGTCTCTTTTCCCGCTGTCTCCTTTCCCGCTGTCTCTTTTCCCGCTGTCTGTCCCGGTGTCTGTCCCGCTGTCCCCCTCGCGGTGTTGTCCCCGCGGTGATTCCCGCTGTCCCCCTCGCGGTGTTCCCCGCGGTGACGGCGGCTGTGTGTCCCGCAGGCACCACGGCCGCGCCGTGCGCTCGGTGGCGTTCCACCGGCGCTACCCGCTCTTCGCCTCCGGCTCCGACGACGGCTCCGTCATCGTCTGCCACGGCATGGTCTACAAGTACGGAACTCCCACCGGGATTGATCCATGGGATTCGGGGGTTCAGTCGTGGGATTTATTGATGGGATTTATTTGTGGGATTTATGGGATTTATTCGTGGGATTTATGGGATTTATTCATGGGATTTATCTGTGGGATTTGTGGGTTCATTCGTGGGATTTATGGGATTTATTCGTGGGATTTATGGGATGGATTCGTGGGATTTATCTGTGGGATTTATGGGATTTATTCATGGGATTTATGGGATTTATTCGTGGGATTTATGGGATTTATTAATGGGATTTATGGGATTTATTGATGGGATTTATTGATGGGATTTATGGGATGGATTCGTGGGATTTATCTGTGGGATTTATGGGATTTATTTATAGGATTTATGGGATTTATTCATGGGATTTATTCATGGGATTTATGGGATGGATTTGTGGGATTTATGGGATTTATTGATGGGATTTATTGATGGGATTTATGGATTTATTAATGGGATTAATGGATTTGTTTGATGGGATTTATTAATGGGATTTATGGATTTATTTATGGGATTCATGGGATTTATTTATGGGATTTATTTATGGGATTCATGGATTTATTTATGGGATTCATGGGATTTATTTATGAGATTTATGGGATTTATTTGAGGGATGTATGGTATTTATTAATGGGATTTATGGGATGGATTCATGGGATTCATGGGATTTATTGATAGGATTTATCTGTGGGATTCATGGGATTTATTTATGGGATTTATGGGATTTATGTATGGGATTTAATTATGGGATTTATGGATTTATTTGTGGGGTTTATTTCTTGGATTGATGGGATTTATGAATTTATTTGCGGGATTCCCAGGATTTATGGGATTTATGGGATCAGATCCCTCCTTTTGGGGTCCTTGGGGTGGCTGCAGCATTTTTGGGGCAGCATTTTGTTGGGAATCCTGGAGATACCTGGGATTGGATCCCAAAGACATCCAGGACTAGACTCCCGCTCCCAGAATTCCCATTCCCATTGACAGAATTCCCATTCCCAATGTGAGAATTCCCATTCCCATTGTCAGAATTCCCATTCCCAGTGTCAGAATTCCCATTCCCAGTGTCAGAATTCCCATTCCCAATGTCAGAATTCCCATCCCCACTCCCAGAATTCCCATTCCCAATGTCAGAATTCCCATTCCCAATGTCAGAATTCCCATCCCCACTCCCAGAATTCCCATTCCCAATGTCAGAATTCCCATTCCCAATGTCAGAATTCCCATTCCCCTTCCCAGATATTCCCACTCCCCCCAGAATTCCCATTCCCAGTGTCAGAATTCCCATTCCCCCTCCCGGAGTTTCTGTTCCCGGTGTCAGAATTCCCATTCCCACTCCCAGATATTCCCACTTCCCCTCCAAGAATTCCCATTCCTGCTCCCAGAATTCCCATTTCCGGTGTCAGAATTCCCATTCCCAGTGTGACAATTCCCATTCCCCCTCCCAGAATTCCCCTTCCCCCTGCCAGGATCCTCGTTCCCGGTGTTCCCGTTCCTGTTCCCGATGTTCCTGTTCCGGTGTCCCCATTCCCATTCCCGGTGTTCCCATTCCCGGTGTTCCCGTTCCCGTTCCTGGTGTCAGAATTCCCATTTCCTGTCTGGCCATTCCTGGCGTGGCCATTCCCACTGTCACAATTCCCGTTTTTCCCATTTTTCTCCCCGTTTTTCCCCCGTGTTTGGCAGTGACCTGCTGCAGAACGCATTTTCCCGGTGTCACAATTCCCGTTTTTCCCATTTTTCCCCGTTTTTCCCCCCGCTGTTTGGCAGTGACCTGCTGCAGAACCTGTTTTCCCGCTGTTCCCATAACCATTCCCACTGTCACAATTCCTGTTTTTCCCATTTTTCCCCCATTTGGCAGTGACCTGCTGCAGAACGCGTTTTCCCAGTGTGACAATTCCCGTTTTTCCCGTTTTTCTCCCCGTTTTTCCCCCCCGTGTTTGGCAGTGACCTGCTGCAGAACCTGTTTTCCCGCTGTTCCCATTCCCATTCCCAGGGTTCCCATTCCTGGTGTTCCCGTTCCCGTTCCCGATGTTCCTGTTCCGGTGTCCCCATTCCCATTCCCAGTGTTCCCATTCCTGGTGTTCCCGTTCCCGTTCCTGGTGTCAGAATTCCCATTTCCTGTCTGGCCATTCCTGGCGTGGCCATTCCCACTGTCACAATTCCCGTTTTTCCCATTTTTCTCCCCGTTTTTCCCCCCGCTGTTTGGCAGTGACCTGCTGCAGAACCTGTTTTCCCGCTGTTCCCATAACCATTCCCACTGTCACAATTCCCATTTTTCCCATTTTTCCCCCATTTGGCAGTGACCTGCTGCAGAACGCATTTTCCCAATGTCACAATTCCCGTTTTTCCCGTTTTTCTCCCTGTTTTTCCCGTTTGGCAGTGACCTGCTGCAGAACGCGTTTTCCCGGTGTGACAATTCCCATTTTTCCCATTTTTCCCATTTTTCCCCCGTTTTCCCCCCGTGTTTGGCAGTGACCTGCTGCAGAACCTGTTTTCCCGCTGTTCCCATTCCCATTCCCACTGTCACAATTCCCATTTTTCCCATTTTTCCCCCATTTGGCAGTGACCTGCTGCAGAACGCGTTTTCCCGGTGTGACGATTCCCGTTTTTCCCATTTTTCCCCCATTTGGCCGTGACCTGCTGCAGAACGCGTTTTCCCGGTGTGACGATTCCCGTTTTTCCCATTTTTCCCCCATTTGGCCGTGACCTGCTGCAGAACGCGTTTTCCCGGTGTGACGATTCCCGTTTTTCCCATTTTTCCCCCATTTGGCCGTGACCTGCTGCAGAACGCGTTTTCCCGGTGTGACGATTCCCGTTTTTCCCATTTTTCCCCCATTTGGCCGTGACCTGCTGCAGAACGCGTTTTCCCGGTGTGACGATTCCCGTTTTTCCCATTTTTCCCCCATTTGGCCGTGACCTGCTGCAGAACGCGTTTTCCCGGTGTGACGATTCCCGTTTTTCCCATTTTTCCCGTTTTTCCCCCGTTTTTCCCCTGTGTTTGGCAGTGACCTGCTGCAGAACGCGCTGCTGGTGCCGCTCAAGGTGCTCAAGGGCCACGCGCCCGCCCTGGACCTCGGCGTGCTCGACGTCGCCTTCCACCCCCAGCAGCCCTGGCTCTTCTCCTCCGGCGCCGACGGCACCGTGCGCCTCTTCACCTGACCCGGGATCCACTGGGATCCACTGGGATCCATCGGGATCCATCCCGGGATCCATGCCAGGATCCACGCTGATATCCACACAGGAATCCACCCCCAGCAGCCCTGGCTCTTCTCCTCCGGCGCCGACGGCACCGTGCGCCTCTTCACCTGACCCGGATCCACCTGGGATCCACACCGGGATCCATCCTGGGATCCACACCCAGATCCGCAGGGATCCACCCCCAGCAGCCCTGGCTCTTCTCCTCCGGCGCCGACGGCACCGTGCGCCTCTTCACCTGACCCGGGATCCACCTGGGATCCATCCCGGGATCCACACCCGGGATCCACACCGGGATCTGCAGGGATCCACACCCAGAACCTGACCCGGGATCCACCCTGGGATCCACCCTGGGATCCCTGGCTCTTCTCCGAGGGCACTGTGTGACTCTACACCTGAAATTCCCAGCGGGATCCAACCGGATCCGCTGCCTTCGGAATTCCCAGCGCTCAATAAAGGCTTTTTTTGGATACGATCCTGATCTCCGTGTGCTGAATTCCCAGCGTTCCCATTCCCACGTCTCTGTGCCCCACATTCCCTGCACTGGACCTTCCCACAGGGATCCAACGGGATCCACAGGGATCCGCTGCCTTCGGAATTCCCAGCGCTCAATAAAGGCTTTTTTTGGATACGATCCCGGGATCTTTGTGTCCAGAATTCCCAACATTCCCATTCCCACATCCCCCAGTGTCCCCAGTCCCCACTCCCACACCTGACGTTCCCATGGGAATCTGCCAGGATACAACCGGATCTGCTGGGATCTGCCAGGATTGGAATTCCCATTCCCAGGGCTCAGTAAAGGATTTTTTTGGGTACGATCCCGGGATCTTCGAGTCCTGAATTCCCCAGTATTCCCACCCCACATCCCTCAGTGTCCCCAATCCCATTCCCACATTCCCACACCTGACATTTCCCCATGGGAATCCACTGGGCTCCGCTGCCACCCGCTGCCATTGGAATTCCCACATCCCAGGACTCAAAAAAGGCTTTTTTTGGATACAATTCCAGGCTCTTTGTACCCAGAATTCCCCAATGTTCCCACGTCCCAGTCCCATCCCCGCATTCCCACATCTCCTCCATGTCCCCACCCCCATTCCTGCGTTCCCGAATATCCCCATCCCAATCCCATCCCCGCATTCCCTACACACAGAATTCCCAGCACCCACTGGGATCATGAGAGGCTTTTTGTGCATGGAACGGGATCTGGGATAGGATCTGGGATAGGGCCTGGAATGGGATCTGGAACAGAATCCCAATGGAAAAGCTGGAAGTGATCAGAACAGAGGATGAGATTCCCTGGATCTGATTTATCTCAGGAAGAGTCCAGGGAATGGAAAAGGATCTGGAATGGGATCTGGGGTAGGACCTGGAATGGGATCTGGAATGGGATCTGGAATGGGATCTGGGGTAGGATCTGGAATGGGATCTGGACCAGGATCTGGAATGGGATCTGGGGTTGGACCTGGGATGGGATCTGGGGTAGGACCTGGAATGGGATCTGGACCAGGATCCCAAAGGGAAATCCGAAGGTGGGACAGAAACGGGGCAGGACCAGCCCGGAAATCCCAAGTTTTTCCCTCTGGATGAACCCCTGGATCCTCCCCACGGAGACACAGCTGGGATCCCCCTTCCCACCCCCCAGATCCTGAGGAATCCCAGAATTCCAGAGCGGGATCAGGAGCCAAAGCTTTATTTAAAAAGAGGTCTCTGTACAGGGGGAATTCCGGGGGGGAATTTAGGGAATGGATCCCGTCACCCACCGGGAAGCAGCAGTGGGGGGGTGGGAACGGATCCCGGATCACCGGGGGGGGATGGGGCTCCCTCCGGATCCCATCCCGAATTCCGGCCGCTTTCCCACTTTTTTTGTCCCCGTGTCTGGGAAGGCGCCGGCGTTCCCGAGGATGGAGGTGATGGAAGACTTTTCCCATGGATTGGGATCCCCCGGGGTATTGCTGAGCAGAGCTGGGAATTCCCGGGAATTTTGGGATTCAGAGGAGGCAGATGAGGCGTCCCAGAGCTGGGAATTCCCAGGAATTTTGGGAATTTTGGGATTCAGAGGTGGACGAGGCATCCCAGGGTCTTGGAGCTGGGAAATGCCAGGAATTTTGGGAATTTTGGGATTCACAGCTGGATGAGGCGTCCCGGGGTCTCGGAGCTGGGAACTCCCAGGAATTTTGGGAATTTTTGGGATTCAGAGGAGGCGGACGAGGTGTTCCAGGGTCCCGGAGCTGGGAATTCCTGGGAATTTCGGGAATTTTGGGATTCAGAGGAGGCGGATGAGGCATCCTGGGGTCTTTGCGCCAGGAATTTACAGGAATTTCAGGAATTCCTGGATTCAGAGGCAGATGAGGGGTCCCAGGGTCTCGGAGCTGGGAATTCCCAGGAATTTCGGGAATTGTGGGATTCAGAGGAGGCGGACGAGGCGTCCCAGGGTCCTGGAGCTGGGAATTCCCGGGAATTTTGGGAATTCTGGGATTCAGAGGAGGCGGACGAGGCGTCCCAGGGTCTCGGCCACCTTGACCCGCACGGCCGGAACGGGATCCTTCAGCAGCGGCTTCAGGGCTGGAACGGCACAGCAGGGATGGGGTCAGGAGCGGGATCGGGATCGGGATCGGGATCGGGATCGGAGTCAGGATCAGGATCGAGATCGGGATCAGGACTGGAGTCAGGATCGGAGCCAGGATTGGGACTGGAATCAGAGTCAGAATCAGGATCGGGATCAGGGTCAAGGTTAGAATGAGGATCAGGATTGGGATTGGGATTGGGATTGGGATTGGGATCAGGATTGGGATCGGGATTGGGATCAGGATCGGGATTGGGATCAGGATTGGGATCAGGATTGGGATCAGGATTGGGATCAGGATCGGGATTGGGATCAGGATCAGGATTGGGATCAGAATCAGGACTGGAGTCAGGATCAGAATCAGGATTAGGGTCAAGGTCAGAATGAGGATCGGGATTGGGATTGGGATGGGGATCAGGATCAGGATCGGAGCCAGGACAGGGATTGGAATCGGGATCGGAGTCAGAATCAGGATCAGGGTCAAGGTCAGGATCAGGGTTGGAATCAGGATCACGATCGGGATTGGGATTTGGATCAGGATCAGGATTGGAGTCAGGATCAGGACTGGGATCAGGATTAGGACCAGGATGAGGATCAGGATCAGGGTCAAGGTCAGAATGAGGATCGGGATCGGGATCAGGGTCAGGATTGGGATCAGGATCAGGATTGGGACCGGGATCGGGATCAGGATCGGGACTGGGATCAGGGTCAGGATCGGGATCAGGGTCAGGATTGGGATTAGGATTGGGATTGGAATCGAGATCAGGATCAGGATTGGGATCAGGGTCAGGATTGGGATTAGGATTGGGATTGGAATCAAGATCAGGATCAGGATTGGGACCAGGATCAGGATCAGGATCGGGACTGGGATCAGGGTCAGGATCGGGATGGCCCAGCCTGGGATATGGCCATGGAAACTCCAGGAATTCCCACGGCATTCCCATGATTCCCAAGGCGTTCCCACTGGATTCCTGCTTTATTCCCATCCCATTCCCACTGGATTCCCGCTGGATTCCCACTGGAATTTCCCTGAATTCCCCCAAATCAATTCCCGGCTCCCAGGAGCCACTCCAGGATTTGGGAACGGGGAGATTTTTGGGAAAGGTTTGCCCAGGAAAATCCCACGGGATCCACTCCCAGCCCAGCCCCAAATTCCCGGCACTCCCAGGAGATTCCAATCCCCCATCCCAGAATTCCCAGTCCCAACAGATTTGCCGGATCTGGGGAATTTTTGTGGGTTTTTTTCCCAAAAAAATGAGGATTTCATTCCCATCATTATCCAGGATTTGAGGACTGACAGGGAAAGGCCCCAGTGGGAGAAAAGTGGGAGAAAAAGGGAGGAAAATTTGGGATTTTCCCAGCTTCTTTCTCCATGTTTGTCCCAAGGTTTTGGGGTTTTTTTGGTAAGAACAGCAAAAATTGGAATGAAATGAAATTTAAATGAACTCTCGGGATGATCCCAAAAAATTTAAAGGCTTGGGATGATCCCCAAAAGGGATCAGGGTCAGGATTGGGATTAGGATTGGGATTGGAATCAAGATCAGGATCAGGATTGGGACCAGGATCAGGATCGGGATCAGGGTCAGGATTGGGACGGCCCAGGCTGGGATATGGCCATGGAAACTCCAGGAATTCCCACGGCATTCCCATGATTCCCAAGGCGTTCCCACTGGATTCCTGCTTTATTCCCATCCCATTCCCACTGGATTCCCGCTGGATTCCCACTGGAATTCCCCTGAATTCCCCCAAATCAATTCCCGGCTCCCAGGAGCCACTCCAGGATTTGGGAACGGGGAGATTTTTGGGGAAGGTTTGCCCAGGAAAATCCCACGGGATCCACTCCCAGCCCAGCCCCAAATTCCCGGCACTCCCAGGAGATTCCAATCCCCCATCCCAGAATTCCCAGTCCCAACAGATTTGCCGGATCTGGGGAATTTCTGTGGGGTTTTTTCCCAAAAAAATGAGGATTTCATTCCCATCATTATCCAGGATTTGTGGACTGACAGGGAAAGGCCCCAGTGGGAGAAAAGTGGGAGAAAAAGGGAGGAAAATTTGGGATTTTCCCAGCTTCTTTCTCCATGTTTGTCCCAAGGTTTTGGGGTTTTTTTGGTAAGAACAGCAAAAATTGGAATGAAATGAAATTTAAATGAACTCTCGGGATGATCCCAAAAAATTAAAAAGAAAGGCTTGGGATGATCCCCAAAAAAATTGAAATTATGGAATATTCATGATGATCCCAAATAAATCAAAAGTAAAGGATCAGAATGGTCCCAAAACCCCTAAAATTAAAAGTACAGGATGATCCCAAAAAATTAAAATTAAATGTTAGAGATCTCCAAAAACCCCCTAAAATTTCAAGGAAAGGCTTGGGATGGTGCCCAAAAAAATTTAAAAGTTTGGGATGATCCCAAAAAATTAAAATTAAATGTTTGTGATGATCCCAAAAAACCCTAAAATGAAAAGGAAAGGCTCTGGGTGATCCCAAAAAAATTAAAGGAGAAGCCTGGGATGATCCCATAAACTCCAAAATTAAAGGTAGAGGATGATCCCAAAAAAATCACAACTAAATGATTTGGATGATCCCAAGAAAATCCCTAAAATTTAAATGAAAGGTTTGGGATGGTCCCAAAAAATATTAAAAGTTTGGGATGATCCCAGAAAATTACAATTAAATGTTTGTGATGGTCCCAAAAAACCCGAAAATGAAAAGGAAAGGCTCTGGGTATCCCAAAAAAATTTAAAGGAGAAGCCTGGAATGATCCCAAAAAACCTAAAATTAGAGGATGATCCCAAAAAATCACAACTAAATGATTTGGATGATCCCAAGAAAACCCCTAAAATTTAAATGAAAGGCTTGGGATGGTCCCAAAAAAATTAAAGGAGAAGCCTGGGATGATCCCAAAAACTCTAAAATTAAAGGCAGAAGATGATCCCCAAAAAAATAAAATTAAATGTTTGTCATGACCCCAAAAAACCCTAAAATGAAAAGGAAAGGCTCTGGGTGATCCCAAAAAAATTTGAAGGAGAAGCCTGGGATGATCCCAAAAACTCTAAAATTAAAGGCAGAAGATGATCCCCAAAAAAATAAAATTAAATGTTTGTCATGACCCCAAAAAACCCTAAAATGAAAAGGAAAGGCTCTGGGTGATCCCAAAAAAATTTGAAGGAGAAGCCTGGGATGATCCCAAAAACTCTAAAATTAAAGGCAGAAGATGATCCCCAAAAAAATAAAATTAAATGTTTGTCATGACCCCAAAAAACCCTAAAATGAAAAGGAAAGGCTCTGGGTGATCCCAAAAAAATTAAAGGAGAAGCCTGGGATGATCCCATAAACTCCAAAATTAAAGGTAGAGGATGATCCCAAAAAAATCACAACTAAATGATTTGGATGATCCCAAGAAAACCCCTAAAATTTAAATGAAAGGCTTGGGATGGTCCCAAAAAATATTAAAAGTTTGGGATGATCCCAAAAAACTAAAATTAAATGTTTGTGATGACTCCAAAAAACCCTAAAATTTAAATGAAAGCCTCAGGATGGTCCCAAAAAATATTAAAAGCTTGGGATGATCCCAGAAAATTACAATTAAATGTTTGTGATGGTCCCAAAAAACCCGAAAATGAAAAGGAAAGGCTCTGGGTATCCCAAAAAAATTTAAAGGAGAAGCCTGGAATGATCCCAAAAAACCTAAAATTAGAGGATGATCCCAAAAAATCACAACTAAATGATTTGGATGATCCCAAGAAAACCCCTAAAATTTAAATGAAAGGCTTGGGATGGTCCCAAAAAAATTAAAGGAGAAGCCTGGGATGATCCCAAAAACTCTAAAATTAAAGGCAGAAGATGATCCCCAAAAAAATAAAATTAAATGTTTGTCATGACCCCAAAAAACCCTAAAATGAAAAGGAAAGGCTCTGGGTGATCCCAAAAAAATTTGAAGGAGAAGCCTGGGATGATCCCAAAACTCCTAAAATTAAAATGAAAAATTCAGGATGATCCCAAAAAATCACAACTGAATGTTTTGGATGATCCCAAAAACTCCTAAAATTAAAATGAAAAATTCAGGATGATCCCAGAAAATGCAAAGTTTGGGACGATCCCACAAAATGACAATTGGAAGTAAATCCTCAGCCCGCTTTGATCCGGGAATTCGGGGCTGGATTGGGAAGGAATCCCTCGGGATTTTCCCAGCCAAAAATTCCTCCCCAGCCCCCAAATCCTGGAGCAGCCCCGGGAGCCGGGATCCCATCCAAGATTTTCTTTTTTCCCATTTTTTCCCTTTTTTTCCCACATTCTTTGGGATTTTCCCTCATTCCGGCCGGGATCGGAGCCCCCCCAGGACCCCCAAAAATTCCCCGAATTCCGGGCGAGTTCCTCCCCCCTCTCCTCCTGGAAGGGCCGAAGGAAAAGCGACTTTTTCTCCTTTTTTAGAGTTTTTTGCGGCTGCCTTGGAGAGCTCGGGAATTTTCCGGGCTCAGATCCACGGGGTGAGGTCAGCGGGGAGAGGGAAAAAATCCCAGAACTCCAGGAAAGTGAGCTCAGCCCGGGGCCGGCCAGGAGGGCCCTGCCCGGGAGGCTCCGGCCCCAAGAACACCCCGAATCACAACAGCCCCAAAAACGGGGAATTTTGGCCTGAAAATGGGTTTTTTTTCGGCCCCAAGAACACCCCGAATCACAACAGCCCCAAAAACGGGGAAATCTGGCCTGAAATGGGGTTTTTTCACAAAAAATGGGGGTTTTTTCACAAAAAAATGGGGTTTTTTCACAAAAAAAAATGGGTTTTTTTCACAAAAAATGGGGGTTTTTAACCTAAAAATGAGGAATTTTTGACTGAAAAATGGGGAGTTTTTTTCCTTAAAAATGAGGAATTTTTGAGTGAAAAATAGATTTTTTTTCCCTAAAAATGGAAATTTTTTTTCCCTAAAAATGGGGTATTTTTCCCCCAAAAAATGAGGAATTTTGGCCTGAAAATGGGGTTTTTTTCCCAAAAAAATGGGGTTTTTCCCTAAAAATGAGGAATTTTGGGGGGAAAATAGGGATTTTTTCCCCTAAAAATGAGGAATTTTCATATGAAAAATGGGATTTTTTCCCCCCTAAAAATGGAATTTTTCTCCCTAAAAATGGGATTTTTTTCCCTAAAAATGGAAATTATGTCCCTAAAAATGAGGAATTTTTGAGTGAAAAAATAGGATTTTTTTTTTCCCTAAAAATGAGGAATTTTGGCCTGAAAATGGGGTTTTTTCCCAAAAAAATGGGTTTTTTTCCCTAAAAATGAGGAATTTTGGGGGGAAAATAGGGATTTTTTCCCCTAAAAATGAGGAATTTTCATATGAAAAATGGGATTTTTTCCCCCCTAAAAATGGAATTAAAATGAGGAATTTTTGAGTGAAAAAATAGGATTTTTTTCCCTAAAAATGGGATTTTTTTTTCCCTAAAAATGGGAATTTTTTTTCCCTAAAAATGAGGAATTTTCATATGAAAAATGGGATTTTTTTCCCCCTAAAAATGGAACTTTTCTCCCTAAAAATGGAATTCTTCACCCTAAAAATGGAATTTTTTTTCCTCAATAAATGAGGAATTTTTGTGAGAAAAATGAGATTTTTTTTCCCCTAAAAATGAGGATCTTTTTCCCCTAAAAATTGGAAATTTTTTCCCTAAAAATGAGGAATTTTTGCGTGAAAATGGGAATTTTTGTGAGAAAAATGAGATTTTTTTTCCCCTAAAAATGAGGATCTTTTTCCCCTAAAAATTGGAAATTTTTTCCCTAAAACTGAGGAATTTTTGTGTGAAAATGGGATTTTTTTCCCTAAAAATGAGGAATTTTTCTGTGAAAAATAGGCTTTTTTTTTCCTTAAAAATGGAAATTTTTTTCTCTAAAAATGAGGAATTTTTGTGCGAAAAAATAGGGATTTTTTTTTCCTAAAAATGAGGAATTTTTGCCTGATAAATGGGATTTTTTTTCCCTAAAAATGGGAATTTTTTCCCTAAAAAGGAGGGACTTTGAGGAACTTTGCACTAAAAACGTGGGGTTTTCCCCAAAATTGAAGTTTAAATCCTACAGAATGTAGATTTTTTGTTCCTACAAGCGGAGAATTTGGGATTTGGGCTCACCGGAGATGAGCTGGTCCAGGTCCACCTGCTGGCCCTGCTCCTCGTCCATGTGCAGCACCAGGAACCCTGCGAGAATTTGGGATCAGGGATTGGGATGGGAATATTCCCTAAAAACCCCAAAATTAGCCCCAAAAAACCCCCCAAATTATCCCCAAAAAACACCAAAATGATCCCTAAAAAACCCCCAAAACTATCCCCAAACATTCCCATATTATCCCCCAAAACCCCCAAATTATCCCCCAAGAACCCAAAAATTATCCCCCAAAAATTATCCCTAACCCCCCCAAAATTATCCCTAAAAAACTCCAAAATTATCCCTAAAAATGCCAAAATTATCCCCAAAATTATCCCTAAAAACCCCAAAATTATCCCCAAAAAACCCCAAAATTATTCCCTAAAATTATCCCTAAAAAACCTCCCAAATTATCCCCAAAAAACCCTAAAATTATCCCTAAAAAACCCCAGAATTATTATCCCCCAAAACCCCCAAATTATCCCCCAAGAACCCAAAAATTATCCCCCAAAAATTATCCCTAACCCCCCCAAAATTATCCCTAAAAAACTCCAAAATTGTCCCTAAAAAACCCCAAAATTATCCCCAAAACTATCCCTAAAAAAACCCTCAAAATTATCCCTAAAAACGCCAAAATTATCCCCAAAATTATCCCCAAAAAACCCCAAACTTATCCCTAAAAAACCCCAAAATTATCCCCCAAAACTATCCCTAAAAACCCCAAAATTATGCCCAAAAACCCCCAAAAATATCCCTAAAAACCGCAAAATTATCCCCAAAACCGTACCTAAAAAAAACCCCAAAATTATCCCTAAAAAACCCTAAATTTATCCCCTAAAAAACCCTAAAGTTATCCCCTAAAACCCCACAATTATCACAAAAAAAATCCCTAAAAACCCAAAAATTATCCTCTAAAAAACCCAAAATTATCCCTAAAAACCCCAAAATTATCCCTAAAAACCCTAAAATTATCCCCAAAAAACCCAAAATTACCCCAAATACCCCAAAATTATCCCCAAAAAACCCTAAAGTTATCCCCTAAAACCCCACAATTATCACAAAAAAAATCCCTAAAACCCCAAAAATTATGCCCAAAAACCCCAAAAATTATCCCCTAAAAACCCCCGAAATTATCCCTAAAAAAATCCAAAATCATGCCTAAAAAACCAGAAAATTATCCCTAAAAACCCCAAAATTATCCCCAAAAACCCCAAAATTATCCCCAAAAAACCCCAGAATTATCCCAAAAAACCCCATAAATTATCCTTAAAACCCCCAAAATTATCCTTAAAAACCCCCAAATTATCCCTAAAAACCTGAAAATTGTCCATAAAAAAACCCCAAAATTATCCCCTAAAAAACCCCCAAAATTATCCCTAAAAACACCCCAAAATTATTCTTAAAACCCCTAAAATTATCCCTAAAAACCCCAAAATTATCGCTAAAAACCCCAAAATTATCCCCAAAATTATCCCTAAAAAATCCCAAAATTATCCCCTAAAAACCCCTAAAATTATCCCTAAAAACCCCAAAATTATCGCTAAAAAAAACCCCAAAATTATCCCCTAAAAACCCCAAAATTATCCCCAAAAAAATCTCTAAAAACCCCAAAATTATCCCTAAAACCCTCAAAATTGTCCCTAAAAAACCCCAAAGTTATCCCAAACAACCCCCAAATTATCCCTAAAAATCCCAAAATTTTCCCTAAAAACCCCGAAATTATTCCCAAAAAACCCCACCATTATATCCCAAAATGACCAAAACCATCCCAATCCCCCCGAGCGATGTCACCCCCTGGTGACAAAGGCCACCGCTGGGACCCCAGGAGGTGACAGGAGCAGAGGCCAGCAGGGGACAAGTCTGGGGTCACCAGAGACCCCAAAATTCCCCCAAAACCACCCCAAAGTGTCCTAAAACCACCCAAAAGCAGCCCAAAAAACCCTTGGGGACCTCCAGGAGCGATGTCACCTCCTGGTGACAAAGGCCACCACTGTGGTGACACCAAGAGGTGACAGGACCTGAGGGGACAAGATTGGGGTCACCAGAGACCCCAAAACCTTCACAATTACCCCAAAACCACCCAAAACCAGGCAGGACCAGCCCAAAGCCCCAGGGGGACCTGCGAGACTGATGTCACCCCCTGGTGACAAAGGCCACCATTGTCACCCCAAGAGGTGACAGGGCCTGAGTCCACCAGGGGATGAGATTGGGATCACCAAGGACCCCAAAACCTTCAGAATTACCCCAAAACCACCCCAAACCAGGCAGGACCACCCCAAATCCCCGGGGGGACCTGCAGGACTGATGTCACCCCTTGGTGACAAAGGCCACCATTGTCACCCCAAGAGGTGACAGGGCCTGAGTCCACCAGGGGATGAGATTGGGATCACCAAGGACCCCAAAACCTTCACAATTACCCCAAAACCACCCCAAACCAGGCAGGACCAGGAGGTGACAGGAGCAGAGGCCAGCAGGGGACAAGTCTGGGGTCACCAGAGACCCCAAAATTCCCCCAAAACCACCCCAAAGTGTCCTAAAACCACCCAAAAGCAGCCCAAAAAACCCTTGGGGACCTCCATGATTGATGTCACCCCCTGGTGACAAAGGCCACCACTGTGGTGACACCAAGAGGTGACAGGACCTGAGGGGACAAGATTGGGGTCACCAGAGACCCCAAAACCTTCAGAATTACCCCAAAACCACCCCAAACCAGGCAGGACCAGCCCAAAGCCCCTTGGGGACCTCCATGATTGATGTCACCCTTGGGGACAAAAGCCACCACTGAGGGGACACCAATGGGGGCAGGGACTTGAGTCCACCTGGGGACAAGACTGGGGTCACCAGAGACCCCAAAACCTTCACAATTACCCCAAAACCACCCAAAACCAGGCAGGACCACCCCAAAGCCCTGGGGGACCTGTGGGACCGATGTCACCCCCTGGTGACAAAGGCCACCACTGTGGTGACCCCAATGGGGGCAGGGACCTGAGTCTACCTGGGGACAAGACTGGGCTCACCAGAGGCCCCAAAACCTTCAGAATTACCCCAAAAATCACCCAAAACCAGTCCAAAGCCCCTTGGGGACCTGCGGGACTGATGTCACCCCCTGGTGACAAAAGCCACCATTGTCACCCCAAGAGGTGACAGGACATGAGTCCATCAGGGGACAAGATTGGGGTCACCAGAGACCCCAGAACCTTCACAATTACCCCAAAAATCACCCCAAACCAGGCAGGACCACCCCAAAGCCCCTTGGGGACCTGCGGCACCGATGTCACCGCCTGGTGACAGAGGCCACCATTGTCACCCCAAGAGCTGACAGGACCTGAGTCCACCTGGGGACAAGATTGGGGTCACCAAGGACCCCAAAACCTTCAGAATTACCCCAAAAATCATCCAAAATCACCCAAATCAACAAAACCCCATCCAAAAACTCCTCGGGGACCTCCAGGGCTGATGTCACCCCTTGGTGACAAAAGCCACCACTGTGGTGACCCCAAGAGGTGACCCTGGTGACAAAAGCCACCATTGTCACCCCAAGAGGTGACAGGACATGAGTCCATCAGGGGACAAGATTGGGGTCACCAGAGACCCCAGAACCTTCACAATTACCCCAAAAATCACCCCAAACCAGGCAGGACCACCCCAAAGCCCCTTGGGGACCTGCGGCACCGATGTCACCCCCTGGTGACAGAGGCCACCATTGTCACCCCAAGAGGTGACAGGACATGAGTCCATCAGGGGACAAGATTGGGGTCACCAGAGACCCCAGAACCTTCACAATTACCCCAAAAATCACCCCAAACCAGGCAGGAGCACCCCAAAGACCCTTGGGGACCTGGGGCACCGATGTCACCCCCTGGTGACAGAGGCCACCATTGTCACCCCAAGAGGTGACAGGACATGAGTCCATCAGGGGACAAGATTGGGGTCACCAGAGACCCCAGAACCTTCACAATTACCCCAAAAATCACCCCAAACCAGGCAGGACCACCCCAAAGCCCCAAGGGGGACCTGCGGGGCAGATGTCACCCCCTGGTGACAAAGGCCACCGCTGGGGTGACACCAAGAGGTGACAGGACATGAGTCCATCAGGGGACAAGATTGGGATCAGCAGAGACCCCAAAACCTTCAGAATTACCCCCAAAACCACCCCAAACCAGGCAGGACCACCCCAAATCCCCGGGGGGACCTGCAGGACTGATGTCACCCCTTGGTGACAAAGGCCACCATTGTCACCCCAAGAGGTGACAGGGCCTGAGTCCACCAGGGGATGAGATTGGGATCACCAAGGACCCCAAAACCTTCACAATTGCCCCCAAAACCACCCCAAAGCCAGGCAGGACCACCCCAAATCCCCAAGGGGACATGTGGCACCGATGTCACCCCCTGGTGACAAAGGCCACCGCGGTCCCTGTCCCTCACCGATGAACATGGCCGCCGCCGCCCGCAGCTCCCGCCAGGGGCTCTTGAAGTAGAAGAGGTTGGTGGAGATGAGGCGGCTCAGCAGCGCCGGGTGGCTGCGCATCTGCGGGGACAGCGGGGACATTGAGGGGACATTGAGGGACACCGGGGACAGCGGGGAGATTGGGGATGTTGGGGACATTGGGGACAGCAGGGACATCAGGGATGTTGGGGACAGCAGGGACACTGGGGACGTAGTGGGGATTGGGGACACTGGGGACAGCAGGGATGTGAGGGGACATTGGGGACATCAGGGATGTTGGGGACATTGGGGACAACGGGGATGTTTGGGACATTGAGGGACAGAGGGGACATTGGGGACAGCGGGGCTATTGGGGATATTGGGGACAGCGGGGACATTGGGGACAGCAGGGACACTGGGGACATGGGGGGGTTGGGGACATTGGGGACAGCGGGGACATTGGGACATTGGGACATCTGGGACGTTGATGACATTGGGGGCAGCAGGGACACTGGGGACATTGGGGGATTGGGGACATTGGGGGCAGCAGGGACACTGGGGACATTGAGGGGAATTGGGGATATTGGGGATATTGGGGGATTTTTTTGAATATTGGGAACGTTGGGGATATTGAGGACATTGCGATATTGGGGGTTGGGAACGCTGGGGACACTCCCACATCCCCTCAATGTCCCCACATCCCCATGTCCCAATCCCAATGTCCCAAAATCCCAGTGCCCCAATATCCCAATACCCCAATGTCCCAGTATGCTCATGTCCCGATATCACAATATCCCAATGTCCCAACATCCCAATGTCCCAATGTCCCAATATCCCAATGTCCCATTGTCCCAATACCCTATGTCCCAATACCCCAATGTCCCAATGTCCCAATATCCCAATGCCCCAATGTCCCCTTGATGGCCCTGCGATGTCCCCGTGATGTCCCCGTGATGTCCCCACATCCCCATGTCCCAATCCCCATGTCCCAATCTCCCAATCCCAAACCCAATGTCCCAATATCCCAGTGCCCCAATATCCCAATATCCCAATGTCCCAGTATGCTCATGTCCCGATATCACAATATCCCAATGTCCCAATGTCCCAATGTCCCAACGTCCCAATATCTCAATGTCTCAATATCCCAATATCCCAATGTCCCAATGTCCCAATGTCCCAATGTCCCATTGTCCCAATGTCCCAATGTCCCAATGCCCAATATCCCACTGTCCCAATGTCCCAATGTCCCAATGTCCCAATGTCCCATTGTCCCAATATCCCAATGTCCCAATGCCCAATATCCCACTGTCCCAATGTCCCAAATCCCAATATCCCAATGTCCCAATATCCCAATGTCCCAATGTCCCATTGTCCCAATGTCCCAATATCCCAACATTCCAACATCCCAATATCCCAACATTCCAACATCCCAATGTCCCAATGCCCACTATCCCAATGTCCCAATATCCCGATGTCCCAATGTCCCAATGCCCAATATCCCAATGTCCCAATGTCCCATTGTCCCAATATCCCAATGTCCCAATATCCCAATGTCCCAATGTCCCATTGTCCCAATGTCCCAATATCCCAACATTCCAACATCCCAATGTCCCAATGCCCACTATCCCAATGTCCCAATATCCCGATGTCCCAATGTCCCAATGCCCAATATCCCAATGTCCCAATGTCCCATTGTCCCAATATCCCAATGTCCCAATATCCCAATGTCCCAATATCCCATTGTCCCAATGTCCCAAAGCCCAATATCCCAATGTCCCAACGTCCCAATGCCTAATATCCCAATGTCCCAATGTCCCAATATCCCAATGTCCCAATGTCCCAATGTCCCAATGTCCCAATGCCCGATGTCCCAATGTCCCAATATCCCAATGTCCCAATGTCCCAATGTCATGATGTCCCCGTGATGTCCCCGTGATGTCCCCGTGATGTCCCCGTGTGTCCCCGTGATGTCCCCATGTCCCCGTGATGTCCCCGTGTGTCCCACCAGGAACTTGCAGACGTTGTTGATGAACTCCCCGTAGTGCAGCCCCTGCACATCCCAACATCCCAATATCCCAACAATCCTCATCCTGGGATCCCAAAATCCCATCCTCTGATCCCAAAACCCCCACCCTGCTGTTCCCACCATTCCCATAGATCCTGAGATTCCGTCGTCTGGTCCCAAAATTCTCACCTTGTGATCCCAAAATCCCTGTCCTGTGATCCCAAAATTCCTATCCTGTGATCCTGAGATCCCATCTTGGGATCCCAAAGTCCCCGTCCTGGGATCCCACCATTCCCATCCTGGTAATCCTACCATTCCCATCCTCTGTTCCCCAAATCCCCATCCTCTGATCCTGAGATCTCATCCTGGGATCCCAAAATCCTCATCCTGGGATCCCAAAATCCCATCCTCTGATTCCAAAATCCCATCCTGGTAATCCTACCGTTCCCATCCTGGGATCCTAAAATCCTGTCCTCTGTTCCCAGAATTCTCATCCTGTGATCCTGAGATCCCTTCCTGGGATCCCCAAATCCCATCCTGGGATCCCACCATTCTCATCTTGGTAATCCTACTATTCCCATCCTGGGATCCCAAAATCCCAGTCCTGCCACCATTCCCGTCAATCCTGAGATTCTGTCGTCTGGTCCCAAAATTCTCATCCTGTGATCTCAAAATCCCTGTCCCATGATCCCAAAATCCCTGTCCTGTGATCCCAAAATTCCCATCCTCTGATCTTGAGATCCCATCCTGGGATCGCAAAATCCTCATCCTGGGATCCCACCATTCCCATCCCATGATCCTGAGATCCCATCCTGGGATCGCAAAATCCTCATCCTGGGATCCCACCATTCCCATCCTGGTAATCCTGCCATTCCCATCCTGGGATCCCCAAATCCTGTCCTCTGTTCCCAAAATCCCCACCCTGCTGTTCCCACCATTCCCATCCCATGATCCTGAGATCCCATCCTGGGATTCCCAAATCCCCATCCTGTGACCCCAAAGTCCCCTTTCTAGGATCCCAAAATTCCCATCCTGTGATCCCAAAAGCCCTGTCCGTAATCCCAAAATCCCCATTTTGTGACCCCGATTTCCTCATCCTGCAATCCCACCATTCCCGTTGTCCCGAGCACCAGGGGACAATCCCAGTGGGACAATTCCCAATGGGACAATCCCAGTGGGGATTTAAAATCCAGTGGGACAATTCCAATGGGAAAATTCCAAAGGGACAATCCCAGTGGGACAACTCCAATGGGACAATCCCAATGGGACACTGCCAATGGGAAAATCCCAGTGGGAAAATCGCAATGGGAAAATCCAGTGGGACAATTCCAATGGGAAAATTGAATGGGAAAATTCCAACGGGACAATCCCAGTGGGACAATCCCAATGGGAAAATCCAATGAGAAAATTCCAGTGGACCAATCCCAATGGGAAAATCCAGTGGGACAATTCCAGTGGGACAATTCCAGTGGGACAATTCCAATGAGACAATTATAGTGGGATAATTCCAATAGGAAAATCCAGTGGGACAAGTCCAATGGGACAATCCCAATGGACCAATCCCAGTGGGACAATTCCAATGGGACAACCCCACTGGGACAATCCCTATGGACCAATCCCAGTGGGACCCTCAGCCCAGCACGGATGAGGATCCAGCAGAAATCCCAGCCCAAGGGAGAAATCCGGGATCGGGAATCCCCACGGGACGGACCCCTGGAGACGCCCCCACCCGGCCCCAACCCCATTCCCAAGCCCGGGAATTGCGGGCTGGCTCCTCACGCTGTCGAAGAAGGGCCGGATGCGGATGGCGACGTGGAGCAGCATGGACTGCACGTCCCGCTCCTCCAGGTGATCCAGGATCTTGGAGAGGCTGGACATGGCCTCCAGCGCCAGCAGATTGTTGGGATCGTCCTTGTCGTCCATGCCGTTCACCATGGAGGCCAGCAGCTGCGAGCCGTGCCTCCGGATCTGCCGGGAAAACCGGGAATGCCGCCGGGAAAATGGGATACAGAGCCCCAGGAGGGAGCTTGTGGGGGGGGGGATTGTCCCACAGAAAATTGGGATTGAAGGGATCCAGGGGGATCCCTGCTCCCAGGGAAGAGGGACAGGACACAGGGAATGGCCTCAGGTTGGGATTTTTGGGAATATTCCCCTGGAATTTGGGGCAGACAGGGATTTGGTGGGTTCGTGGTTGGGATTGGGAATTCCCAGGAATGGCTGAGGGAGCTGTTTGGGCTCATCCCAGAGAAAAGCGGGATTGAAGGGATCCAGGGCGGGATCTGCTCCCAGGGAATGGGCCAGGACCCAGGAATGGCCTCGGGTTGGGATTTTTGGGAATATTCCCCTGGAAAGGGCTGGAATTCTGGGATTTGGGGCTTTGGGAAGCTGGGCAGGGACTGAGGCCGAGGATTCCTGGGACAGTCTGGGAAAAGGGGCCAATCCCAGACAGAATTCCTGTGGTTCTGGGAAATGTTCCTGGAGAAATGGGGAAATGGGGCTGGAGAAAAGCTCCGGCACTTCCCGGGACCAGTGGGACAATTCCAATGGGAAAATCCAATGGGAAAATTCCAATGGGACAATCCCAGTGGGACAATCCCAGTGGGAAAATCCAATGAGAAAATTCCAGTGGAACAATCCCAATGGGAAAATCCAGTGGGACAATTCCAGAGGGACAATCCCAGTGGGACAATTCCAATGGGACAACCCCACTGGGACAATCCCTATGGACCAATCCCAGTGGGACCCTCAGCCCAGCACGGATGAGGATCCAGCAGAAATCCCAGCCCAAGGGAGAAATCCGGGATCGGGAATCCCCACGGGACGGACCCCTGGAGACGCCCCCACCCGGCCCCAACCCCATTCCCAAGCCCGGGAATTGCGGGCTGGCTCCTCACGCTGTCGAAGAAGGGCCGGATGCGGATGGCGACGTGGAGCAGCATGGATTGCACGTCCCGCTCCTCCAGGTGATCCAGGATCTTGGAGAGGCTGGACATGGCCTCCAGCGCCAGCAGATTGTTGGGATCGTCCTTGTCGTCCATGCCGTTCACCATGGAGGCCAGCAGCTGCGAGCCGTGCCTCCGGATCTGCCGGGAAAACCGGGAATGCCGCCGGGAAAATGGGATACGGAGCCCCGGGAGGGAGCTTGTGGGGGGGGGATTGTCCAGAAGAAAATCGGGATTGAAGGGATCCAGGGGGAGTTTGGGATCCTCTCTGAGGGAAAAAGGGGTGGGGAAAGAGGGAATGGGCTCAGGTTGGGATTTTTGGGAATATTCCCCTGGAATTTGGGGCAGACAGGGATTTGGTGGGTTCGTGGTTGGGATTGGGAATGGGGGAATTCCCAGGAGGGGCTGAGGGAGCTCTTGGGGCTCATTCCGGAGAAAACTGGGATTGAAGGGATCCAGGGGGATCCAGGGGGGGATCTGCTCCCAGGGAATGGGACAGGACCCCAGGAATGGCCTCGGGTTGGGATTTTTGGGAATATTCCCCTGGAAAGGGCTGGAATTCTGAGATCTGGGGCTTTGGGAAGCAGGGCAGGGACTGAGGCCGAGGATTCCTGGGACAGTCTGGGAAAAGGGGCCAATCCCAGACGGAATTCCTGTGGCTCTGGGAAATGTTCCTGGGGATCCCTGGAAAACCATGCTGGGGAAAAGCTCCGGCACTTCCCGGGATTCCCGGGAATGACTCCAGAAAAATCGGTATTTTTAGGATTCGGAGCCTCCCGGTGCATCCCAATCCCTGGAGCTTCCTCCCCATCCCACAAAACCCCATCCCGATGTTTCAGAGGGAATCCATTCCCCGTGTCCCCCCAAATCCCAAACCCACCTTTTCCGGGGACCCGGCGGCGGCGTTGCCGAGCCCGCGGAGCGCCAGGACGCGCACCAGGAGGCAGGAATCCTTCTCCAGAGCCGTCAGCGCGTCCAGCAGCGGCTCCAGCAGCACCAGGTCGTTCACCACGTTGTGGTTCAGGAGCTGGAGGAGGGAAAAAACCCAAAAAATTCCCTCGGGATGCAGCAGGAAAAACCCCGGATGGATGAGGGGGGAGCGGAATTCCCGGGAAGAGCTGTGGTTGGAGCCGCTCTGGGAAAATCCAAGGAAAACTCAGCCCGGGGTGGGATTTGGGGGTGTGGAATGGTTCAGAAAATTCGGGAATTTTTGGGAAGATCGGGCTCCAAAGAGCCACTCAGGGCCTGGAGATTCCTCCCATCCTGCGGATCTGCCGGAATTCTCTTCTCCTTCCCTGCAGCTCCGGAGGGAATTGGAACACTCCAAGATCCAGACACGCTCCGGGTTCTGGGATGGGCTACAGGAGGAGCTGGGAATTTGGGATGGATGGATGGACACATGGGTGGATGGATGGATGGATGGATGATGGATGGATGATGGAGGGATGGATGGATGGATGGATGGAGGATGGATGGATGATGGATGGATGATGGAGGGATGGATGGATGGATGGATGGAGGATGGATGGATGATGGATGGATGATGGAGGGATGGATGGATGGATGGATGGAGGATGGATGGATGATGGATGGATGATGGAGGGATGGATGGATGGATGGATGGAGGATGGATGGATGATGGATGGATGATGGAGGGATGGATGGATGGATGGATGGAGGATGGATGGATGATGGATGGATGATGGAGGGATGGATGGATGGATGGATGGAGGATGGATGGATGATGGATGGATGGATGGATGGCTGGATGGATGGATGGATGGATGGACAGATCCATGGATAGATGGATGGATGGATGGATGGATGGATGGATGGATGGAGGGATGGATCCATGGATGGATCCATAGATGGATGGAGAGATCCATGAATGAACAGATCCATGGATGGACAGATCCATGAATAGACAGATCCATGGATCCATGAGGGACCGGCCCATTCCGGTTTTCCCCGCTCACCTCGGCCAGGAAGGCGCTGCTGGTCACCCTCTGGCAGTCCAAGGCGCTTCCCAGCGCCGGGATGAGGCTCCGGACGATCGGCGGCAGCCGGGGCCCGCAGAGCCGCGCCATGGCCCTGCGTGGGAACAGCGCTCGGAATGCCGGGAATGCCGGGAATGCCGGGAATCCCTGTCCCCGGGCAGGACAACACCCGGCGTGGAAAACCGGGACTGACCCACAGGGAAGGACCTGGAGCATCCCGGACTCCCCATCCGGGGTTTCTTTGGGATAAATTCCCCAAAAGTTGGATAATCCCAATCCCAACCCAGGGGTTATTCCCGGATGATCCGGGCAGCGGGAATTTCCCAGGAATGATGGGATGGGATGGGATGGACTGGGATACTCCGGGAATCCCAGGGATGCAGCGGGAAAAGGGAGGAGTTTTCCATGGGGACCTTTGGGATCCCATGGGAGTGGGGAGGGAATGAGCGGGAAACACGGGATGGGTGAGAAATAGTGGGATCGGAGACACCGGGAATTCTGCAGTGGGGTGGGGGACATCGGGAATTCCATACTGGGATTGGAGACTCTGGGAATTCCCAGTGACACCGGAATTGCACAGTGGGATTGATAAAACCAGGAATTCCAACTTGGGATTGATACTGGGAATTCCAGAGTGGGATTGGAGACTCTGGGAATTCCACACTGGGATCAGTGACACTGGAATTGCACAGTGGGATTGATAAAACCAGGAATTCCAACTTGGGATTGATGACACAGGGAATTCCAGAGCGGGACTGGGGACATTGGGAATTTCACGCTGGGATTGGAGACACTGGGAATCCCATGCTGGGATCGGAGACACTGGGAATTCCATTTTGGGATTGGAGACACTGGGAATTCCATACTGGGATTGGAGACATTGGGAATCCAATTCAGGGATGGGTGACACTGGGAATTCCATACTGGGATTGGAGACGCTGGGAATTCCATACTGGGATTGGAGACACCGGGAATCCCATACTGGGATGGGTGACACTGGGAATCCTACACTGGGATTGGAGACACTGGGAATCCCATTTTGGGATCAGAGACACTGGGAATTCCACAGCAGGACCAACTTCCAGCCCCAGCTGCCTCCACCCCTCCACATTCCCGGGTGCAAGGTGATCCCACCCCACCCAAAAACCCCGGAATTCCCCGGGAAGCTGCCCCGGAATTCCCTACCTGGCCAGGAGGGCGACTCCGTCGTGGTGTCTCTCGGGAATTTCCATCAGTTCCCAGCCCCCGGCGCTTCCCACGTCCTGCACGACGTCGTCGTTCCCGGCCCGCGCCAGCATCGCCTTCAGCGTCTGCACGGCACCGCTGGAAAAGTGGGAGTGGGATGGGATGGGATCTGGGGCTGGGTTCAAGATTGGGTCTGGAATTGGAGCTGGGGTTGGATTCAGTTTGGGGTTGGGATGGGATCTGGGATTGGGTTCAAACTGGGTTCAAGATTGGGTCTGGAACTGGATCTGGGATTGGATTTGGGATTGGGTTCAAGACTGGGTCTGGAATTGGGATCTGGGGTTGGATTTGGGATTGGGTTCAAGACTGAGTCTGGAATTGGATTTGGGGTTGGATTCAGATTCACTTTGGGATTGGGATGGGATCTGGGGTTGGGTTCAAGATTGGGTCTGGAATTGGATCTGGGGTTGGATTCAGATTCAGTTCGTGGTTTGGATGGGATCTGGGATTGGGTTCAAACTGGGTTCAAAACTGAATCTGGAATTGGATCTGGGGTTGGATTTGGGATTGGGTCTGGAACTGGATCTGGGCTTGGATCAGATTCACTTTGGGATTGGGATGGGATCTGGGGTTGGGTTCAAACTGGGTTCAAGATTGGGTCTGGATTGGATCTGGGGTTGGATTCAGATTCAGTCTGGGATTGGGATCTGGGGTGGGATTTGGGATTGGGTTCAAGACTGAGTCTGGAACTGGATCTGGGGTTGGATTCAGACTCAGTTTGGGATTGGGATGGGATCTGGGGTGGGATTTGGGATTGGGTTCAAGATTGGGTCTGGAATTGGATCTGGGGCTGGATTCAGATTCAGTCTGGGATTGGGATCTGGGATTGGGTTCAAGACTGAGTCTGGAATTGGATTTGGGGTTGGATTCAGATTCACTTTGGGATTGGGATGGGATCTGGGGTTGGGTTCAAGATTGGGTCTGGAATTGGATCTGGGGTTGGATTCAGATTCAGTTCGTGGTTTGGATGGGATCTGGGATTGGGTTCAAACTGGGTTCAAAACTGAATCTGGAATTGGATCTGGGGTTGGATTTGGGATTGGGTCTGGAACTGGATCTGGGCTTGGATCAGATTCACTTTGGGATTGGGATGGGATCTGGGGTTGGGTTCAAACTGGGTTCAAGATTGGGTCTGGAATTGGATCTGGGGTTGGATCAGATTCACTTTGGGATTGGGATGGGATCTGGGGTTGGATTTGGGATTGGGTCGGGAATTGGATCTGGGCTTGGATCAGATTCAGTTTGGGATTGGATTTGACACTGGATTCAGGATTGGATTTGGGATTGGATCTGGAATTGAATCTGGGACTGGATTCTGACTGAGTTTAGGATTGGATCTGGGATTGGGTTTGGGATAGGATTCAGTCCTGGATTTGGTATTGGATTTGGAACTGGAATTAGGACTGGATCTGGGATTGAGTTTGGGATTGGATCTGGGATTGAGTTTAGGATTGGATCTGGGATTGGGTTTGGGAATGGGTTTGGGATTGGATCTGGAATTGGCTTCTAATTGAGTTTAGGATTGGATTCAGGACTGGTTTTGGAATTGGATTCAGAATTGGATTTGGGATTGAATTCAGGACTGGGTTTGGGATTGGATTCAGGACTGGGTTTGGGATTGGATTCAGAATTGGATTTGGGATTGGATTCAGGATTGGTTTTGGGATTGGATTCAGGATTGGATTTGGGATTGGATTCTGACTGAGTTTAGGACTGGATTTGGGATCATTCCCTTGGGACAATTCCAGGGATGTCCATGGAATTCCAGACTGGTCTGGGATGGAGGGAATTTCGGGATCAGCCCATTCCCAATTTTTCCATGGGACAATTCCAGGGATGGGGCAGCCCTGGTTTCTGTGGAATTCACTCCCCCATTCCTCCTTTTTTTTAGGAATCTGGTCCAACATCCCATCCCATCATTCCATTAGCCCATCCCATAAACCCATAAAGCCCACAAATCCCATCCCATCCCATTATCCCATAAATCCTATAAATCCCACCCCATTATCCCATTATCCCATTATCCCATCATCCCATCCTATAAATCCTATAAATTCCATTATCCCATCCCACCCCATCCCATTATCCCATTATCCTATCCCATAAATCCCATAATTCCCACAAATCCCATAAATTCCATTATCCCATCAATCCCATTATCCCATCAATCCCCCATCACGTTTTCCCCCCAAACCCCCTTTTCCCACGGAATTTCCCCACAGAATTCCCACCTTTTGCCCAAAGAATTCCCACCCTTTTCCCACAGAATGTCCCACCTTTTCCTCATGGAATCCCCACCCTTTTCCCCATGGAATTTCTGATAGAATTCCCACTTTTCCCCACAAAATTCCCACTTTTCTCCATAGAATCCCCCCTTTCCCCCATAGAATTCCCCCTTTTCCCCTGGGAATCAACACTTTTCCTCATATAATTCCCACTCTCCCCATGGAATCCCCACTTTTCCGCCACTTTTCTGCAGGGAATTCCCACTTTTCTCCACTCTCCCCCCATGGAATTCCCCCTTTTCCCCATAGAATTCCCACCTTTCCCCACTTTTCCCCAGGTACTTCCCCCTTTTCCCCCACTTTTCCCAAGGGAATCCCCACTTTTCCTCATGGAATTCCCACCTTTCCCACATGGAATCGCCACTTTCTCCCCCCTTTTCCCAGGGAATTATCCATTTTCCCCATAGAATTCCCACCTTTCCCCACTTTTCTCCAGGGAATCCCCATTTTTTCCCACAAAATTCCCACTTTCCCCCACTTTTCCCCAGGAAATCCCCACTTTTCATTAAGGGAATTCCCACTATTCACCACTTTTCCCCACGCAATCCCCACTTTTCCCCAGGCACTTCCCACTTTTCCTCCACTTTTCCTCAGGGAATTCCCCCACTTTTCCCCATGGAATTTCCACTTTTCCTCATTTTCCCCAGGGAATCCCCTCTTTTCCCCACGCAATCCCCACTTCTCCTCAGGGAATTTCCAATTTTCCCCACTTTTCCCCAGGGAATCCCCACTTTTCCTCAGGGAATCCCCCCTTTTACTCATGGAATTCCCACTTTTCTCCCCTTTATCCACATAATTCCCACTTTCCCACACAGAATTCCCACTTTTCTTCATGAAATTCCCCCTTTTCTCCACTTTCCCACCTGCAGGGCTGCGGGCTGGCGCGCTCCCGGCCCTGCAGGGCTTTGGGCAGCAGCAGCCCCGGGCCATTCCCACCTTTTCCACACGGAATTCCCTCTTTCATCCCCATGGAATCCCCACTTTTCCTCTTGGAATCCCCACTTTTCCCCAGGGAATCTCCACTTTCCCCCATGGAATTTCCACTTTTTTCCACTTTTCCCCACAGAATTTCCACTTTTTCCCACTTTTCTTCAGGGAATCCCCACTTTTCCCCAGGCACTTCCCCCTTTTCCCCCACTTTTCCCCATAGAATTCCCACCTTTTCCCACTTTACTCCATGGAATCCCCACTTTTCCTCAGGGAATTCCCCCACTTTTCCCCATAGAATTTCCACTTTTCCCCATGGAACTCTCCCTTTTCCCCAGGGAATTCCCAATTTTCTTCACTTTTCCCCAGGGAATCCCCCCTTTTTCCCCCATTTCCTCATATAATTCCCACTTTTCCCCCACAGAATTCCCACATTTCCCACACAGAATTCCCACATTCCCCACACGGAATTCCCACATTCCCCACCTGCAGGGCTGCAGGCCGTCCCGCTCCCGGCCCTGCAGGGATTTCGGGAGCCGCACGCCCAGGGCGCAGCCCAGGCAATTCCCACATGGAATTCCCACATTTACCCACTTTTCCCCATGGAATTCCCACATTCCCCACACAGAATTCCCACCTTTCCCCACAGAATTCCCACATTTCCCACAGAATTCCCACATTTCCCCACAGAATTCCCACATTTCCCCACAGAATTCCCACATTTCCCACAGAATTCCCACATTTCCCACAGAATTCCCACATTTCCCACACAGAATTCCCACATTTCCCACACAGAATTCCCCCCTTTCCCACCTGCAGGGCTGCAGGCCGTCCCGCTCCCGGCCCTGCAGGGCTTTGGGCAGCCGCACGCCCAGGGCGCAGCCCAGGCGCAGCAGCAGCCCCGGGAAGAGCCGCGGGAATCGCTCCTGCACCGCGGCCGCCGCCTCCGGCACCGCCATCAGCTCAGCCAGCGCGCACGTGGCCTGCGGGAAAACACCGGGAAAACGCCGGGAAAAGGTCGGGGAAAGGTCGGGGACACGCCGGGAAAAGGCCGGGAACACGCCGGGAAAAGGTCGGGGAAAGAGGGATTGCCACCCCGTGCCCCGGCCCCGCGTCAACCCCGCATGAAGACACCGCGTACTTGGGATTTTCCTGATGAAATTCCCATGGATTTGGGGCTTTCCTCAGGGAATTCCCATGGATTTGGGGTTTTCTCAGAGAGATTTCGTGTTTTTCCTGTCAGAATTCCCAGGGATTTGGGGTTTTCTCCCATGGATTTGGGGTTTTCTCCCAAGGATTTGGGGTTTTTAGTGATGGAATTCCCATGGATTTGCAGTTTTCTCCCGTAGATTTGGGGGTTTCTCCCAATGTTTTGGGTTTTTTTTCTGCTGGAATTCCCATGGATTTGGGGTTTTCTCCCACGGATTTCGGATTTTCCTGTGGGAATTCCCATGGATTTAGGGTTTTCTCCTATGGATTTGGGGTTTCCCCTGCTGAAATTCCCGTGAATTTGGGGCTTCTTCTGTTGGAATTACCATGATTTTGGGGGTTTTTCCTGAAGGAATTCCCAGGGATTTGGGGTTTTCTCCCACAGATTTCGTGTTTTTCCTGTCAGAATTCCCAGGGATTTGGGGTTTTCTCTGTTGGAATTCTCATGGATTTGTTTTTTGTTGGTTTTTTTTCTGCTGGAATTCCCATGGATTTGGGGTTTTCTCCCATGGATTTGGGGTTTTCTGCTACGGATTTCGTGTTTTTCCTGTCAGAATTCCCAGGGATTTGGGGTTTAATTCCATGGATTTGGGGTTTTCTCCCATGGATTTGGGGTTTTTCCTGTGGGAATTCCCATGGATTTTGGCGGGAATTCCTTGGGAATTTTTTTAGGAATTTTTTTTTGGTGGGAATTCCTTGGGAATTTTTTTGGAATTTTTTTTAATTTTTTTTTTTTCTTTGTGGGAATTCCTTGGGAATTTTTTTGGGAATTGTTTTTAAATTAATTTTTGAATTCCTGGGGAATTTTTGCAGGAATTCCTTGGGAATTTTTTGGGGAATTTTTTTTTTTAAATTTTTTTTGGGGAATTCCTGGGGAATTTTAGCGGGAATTCCTTGGGAATTTTTTGGGGAATTTTTTAAAATTTTTTTTTAAATTCCTGGGGAATTTTGGCCGGAATTCCATGGGGATTTTTGGGTGAATTTTTTGGGAGTTTTTTTTAAATTTTTTTTTTAATTCCTGGGGAATTTTGGTGGGAATTTTTGGGGAATTCCTTGTGAATTTTTTGGAATTTTAGCGGGAATTCCTTGGGAATTTTTTGGGGAATTTTTTAAAATTTTTTTTTAAATTCCTGGGGAATTTTGGCAGGAATTCCCTAGGGATTTTGGGGGGAATTTTTTTCAAATTTTTTTCAGAATTCCTCAGGAATTTTTGGGGAATTCCTTGGGCATTTTTGGGGGAATTTTTTTGGGAATTTTTTAAAATTTTTTTGGGAATTCTGGGGAATTTTTGGGGAATTCCTTGGGGATTTTTGGGGGAAATTTTTTGGGAATTTTTCTTTAATTTTTTTGGGGAATTCTGGGGAATTTTTGGGGAATTCCTTGGGAATTTTTTTGGGAATTTTTCTTTAATTTTTTTGGGGAATTCTGGGGAATTTTTGGGGAATTCCTTGGGAATTTTTCTTTACAGTTTTTTGGGAATTCTGGGGAATTTTTGGGGAATTCCTTTGGGGATTTTTGGGGGAATTTTTTGGGGAATTTTTTTAAATTTTTTTTTTTTAACTCCCAGGGATTTTTGTCAGGAATTCCAGGGGATTTGGGAGGGGGCACTCACGGCCAGGGGCAGCGGGGTGGCCACGCGCTCGGCGGCGCCGCCCAGCAGGAAGGCTTTGCTCTCCTTGAAGGGAACCTCGCGGCCCAGGCGCTCCAGGAGCTGCTCCAGCAGCTGCGGCGCCAGGGAACGCTCCGAGCCCAGCGCCCGCCACAGCGCGCGCGTCGGCCTGGGGAGGGGAACAATGGGGAGTGGGGGGATTCGGGGGAAATAGGGGGTTTCTGGGGGAGAAATGGGGATTTCTGGGGGGAAATGGGGATTTCTGGGGGAAAAATGGGGAAAATGGGGATTTCTGGGGGAGAAATGGGGTAAAAATGGGGATTTCTGGGGGGAAATGGGGATTTCTGGGGGAAAATGGGGATTTCTGGGGGGAAAATGGGGATTTCTGGGGGAAAAATGGGGATTTCGGGGGTAAAATGGGGATTTCTGGGGTAAAAATGGGGATTTCTGGGGGAAAATGGGATAAAAATGGAGATTTCTGGGGTAAAATGGGGTAAAATTTGGGGCTGTATTTGGGATTGGGGCTGTATTTGGGATTGGGGCTGTGTTTGGAGCTGTATTTGGGGCAGGATTTGGGATTGGGGCTGGGAATTTTTGGGATAAAAATGGGAATTTCTGGATAAAAATGGGATAAAAATGGGAATTTTTGGGGTAAAAATGGGAATTTCTGGGATAAAAATGAGATGAAAATGGGAATTTCTGGGGTAAAAATGGGAATTTATGGGATAAAAATGGGAATTTCTGGGGTAAAACCGGGATTTCTGGGATAAAAATGGGAATTTTTGGGATAAAAGGGGGAATTTCTGGGATAAAAGTAAGAATTTTTGGGATAAAAATGGAATTTGGGGTTGGGAGTGGAATATTGGGGTTGGGTCTGGATTTGGGATCGGGGCTGGATTTGGGATTGGGGCTGGGTTGGGGATTGGGGCTGGATTTGGGATTGGGGCTGGATTTGGGATTGGGGCTGGATTTGGGATTGGGGCTGGGTTGGGGATTGGGGCTGGATTTGGGATTGGGGCTGGATTTGGGGCAGGATCTGGGATCAGGGCTGGATTTGGGGCTGTATTTGCGATTGGAGCAGGATTTGGGATCGGGGCTGGATTTGGGATCAGGGCTGGATTTGGGGCAGGATTTGGGATCGGGGCTGGATTTGGGGCAGGGTTTGGGATCGGGGCTGGAGTTGGGGCTGGATTTGGGATTGGGGCTGGGTTGGGGATTGGGGCTGGATTTGGGATTGGGGCTGGATTTGGGGCAGGATCTGGGATCAGGGCTGGATTTGGGGCTGTATTTGCGATTGGAGCAGGATTTGGGATCGGGGCTGGATTTGGGATCAGATTTGGGATCGGGGCTGGATTTGGGATCGGGGCTGGATTTGGGGCTGTATTTGCGATTGGGGCAGGATTTGGGATTGGGGCTGGATTTGGGATCAGGGCTGGATTTGGGATCAGGGCTGGATTTGGGATTGGGGCTGGATTTGGGATCGGGGCTGGATTTGGGGTTTGGGCTGGATTTGGGGCTGCATTTGGGATCAGGTCAGGAATCCAGGACCCGGTCCCCGTTTGGGACGGGGTATCTGGGGTAGGGCCCCCCCATGCCCCCGTACCCGTCGAAGGGCAGGGGGCTGCCCAGCAGGCAGCCCACCACGGCCTGGGGGTGCTGCAGGGCCAGCAGCAGCACCGCGCTCTGCGCCGCGCGCCGCAGCGCCTGCGCCTCCTCCTGCGGCAGCGCCTGCAGCCGCTGCAGCCGCGCCCGCAGCGCCGCCAGCAGCTCCGCAACCTGCGCCCGAACAGACGTGGGACACGGTCAGCAACAGTGGGGTCACGGGGTGGGGTCATGGGGTGGGGTCACTGGGATCATCCTACATGGGATCCTTGGGGTGGGGTCACTGGGGTGGGTTTCCCCCAATCCCAATTTCCCATTTTCCCCAATTTTCCATTTTTCCCATTCCCATTTCCAATTTCCCATTTTCCCCATTCCCCTTTTTCCCCATTCCAAATTTCCCATTTTTCCCATTTCCCCCATTCCCATTTTTCCCAATTTCCCATTTTCCCCCAATCCCAATTTCCCATTTTTCCCAATTTCCCATTTCCCCCATTCCCAATTTCCCATTTTTCCCGTTTCCCCCAATCCCAATTTCCCATTTTCCCCAATTTCCCATTTTCCCCCAATCCCAATTTTCCATTTTTCTCAATTTTCCATTTTTCCCATTCCCATTCCCAATTTCCCATTTTTCCCATTTTTTCCCATCCAAATTTCATATTTTTTTTCCCATTCCATTTTCCCATTTTTCTAATTTTCCCAATTTCCCATTTTCCCCATTCCCAATTTCCCATTTTCCCATTTTTTCCCAGTTTTCCCCATTTTTCCAATTTCCCATTTTTCCCATTTTCCCATTTTCCCCCATTCCCAATTTCCCATTTTCCCATTTCCCCCATTTTCCCAATTCCCAATTTCCCCTCCCAGTGAATTTTTGCCACCAGGAATTCCAACCCCCCTCCCCCTTCCAACCTTTTCCACAGGAAAAAATTCCCAAAAATTGGGAATTTTGGGCCGAAATTTCAAGAATTTTGGGAATTAATTTCAGGGCTTTTGGGAACTCCCGGTGAATTTTTCCCACCAGGAATTCCAACCCCCCTCCCCTTCCAACCTTTTCCACAGGAAAAATTCCCCAAAATTGGGAATTTTTGGCCGAAATTTCAAGAATTTTGGGAATTAATTTCAGGGCTTTTGGGAATTAATTCTGGAAATTTTGGGAATTAATTAATTCTGGGATTTACTTTGGGATTTGTTTTGGGAATTAATTTTGGGCCTGAATTTCAGGAATTAATTTGGGGAATTCTGGGAATTATTCTGGGAATTTTGGGAACAAATTTTGGGACTGAATTTCAGGAATTTTGGGAATTTTTGGGGACAAATTTTGGGACTGGATTTTGGGAATTTTGGGAATTTTTGAGATTTAATTTCATTAATTTTGGGAATTAATTTTGATTTATTTTGGAACTGAATTTTGGGAATTTCAGAACTGGATTTCGGGAACTTTTGGGAATGAATTTTAGGAATTTGGGGATTTAATTTCGGGAATTTTTGCGACTGAATTTTGGGACTGAATTTCAGGAATTTTGAGGATTTTTGGGGATTAGTTTTGGGAATTTGGGGAATTATTTTTGGGAATTAATTTCAGGAACATTGGGAAATTTTGGGGATTCGTTTTGGGAAGTTGAGGATTTCATTTCAGGGATTTTGGGAATTTTTGCCACTGAGTTTTGGGACTGAATTTCAGGAATTTTTGGGATTTAATTTTAGGAATTTTGGGACCGAATTGTTGGAATTTTGGGAGTTTTTGGGATAGAATTTCGGGAATTTGGGGGATTAATTTTATGAATTTTGGGAATTTTGGGGGATTAATTTCAGGAATTTTACGAGTAAAATTTAGGAATTTTTGGGCATTAATTTGATGAATTTTGGGAGTGAATTTTGGGAATTTTTGGCATTGATTTTAGGAATTTTGGGAATTTTTGGGATTTAATTTTATGAATTTTGGGACTGAACTTCAGGAATTTTTGGGGATGAATTTTATGAATTTTGGGAGTGAATTTTGGGAATTTTTGGCATTGATTTTAGGAATTTTGGGAATTTTTGGGATTTAATTTTATGAATTTTGGGACTGAACTTCAGGAATTTTTGGGGATGAATTTTAGGAATTTTGGGAGTGAATTTCGGGCATTAATTTTAAGAATTTTTTTATTTAATTTCGAGAAATTTTGGACATTAATTTTAGGAATCCTGGGATTTAATTTCAAGAACTTTGGGAATTTTTGGGCATTAACTTTAGGAATTTTGGGAGTGAATTTTGAGATTTAATTTCAAGAATTTTGGGATTTAATTTCAAGAATTTTGGGCATTTTTGGGCATTAATTTTAGGAATCTTGGAACTGAATTTTGGGCATTTTGGGAATTTTTGGGCATTAATTTTAGGAATTTTGGGAGTGAATTGTGGGAATTTTTGGGGATTAATTTTTGGAATTTTGGCACTGAATTTTGGGGGAGTAATTTTAGGCATTTTGGGAATTTTTGGGGATGAATTTGATGAATTTTGGGTGTGAATTTTGGGCATTAATTTCAGGAATTTTGGGATTTAATTTCGAGAATTTTGGGAATTTTTGGGCATTAACTTTACGAATTTTAGGAGTGATTTTCAGGAATTTTTGGGCTTTAATTTTATGAATTTTGGGAGTGAATTGTGGGAATTTTTGGGGATTAATTTTATGAATTTGGGGAATTTTTGGACATTAATTATAGGAATTTTGAGTCTGAATTTTGGGCATTTTTGAGCATTAATGTTATGAATTTTGAGAGTGAATTTTGGGACTTTTTGGGCCTTAATTTTAGGAGTTTTCGGAGTGAATTTTGGGCAGTAATTTTAAGAATTATGGGATTTAATTTCCAGAATTTTGGGAATTTTTGGGCATTAATTTTATGAATTTTGGGAATTTTTGGGCATTAATTTTATGAATTTGGGGAAATTTTGGGTATTAATTTTAGGAATTTTAGGAGTGATTTTCAGGAATTTTTGGGCATTAATTATAGGAATTTTGGGAGTGAATTTTGGGCATTAATTTTAAGATTTTTGGATTTAATTTTGAGAATTTTAGGAATTTTTGGGGATGAATTTGATGAATTTTGGGACTGAATTTTGGGCATTTTTGGGCATTAATTTCAGGAATTTTGGGAGTGAATTTTGGGAATTTTTGGGCATTAATTCTGGGATTTTGGCACTCGATTTTGGCAATTTTTGGGCATGAATTTGATGAATTTTGGGAGTGAATTTCAGGAATTTCGTTGGGTGTTTCACCTTCTCGTGGAGCAGGGCGCCCCTCTCCCGGATGAGGGCGCTGCCGATGGCGGCGGCGGCGCGGGCGCAATTCTGCTCGGGATCCTCCCAGGCCTCCAGCAGCGCCAGCAGCAGCTCCAGCAGCTGCTCCGGGGGGATCCTCCTGCCCAAAACCTGCCAAAAAACACCCCAAAATTTAAAAAAATATACTGCCAAAAAATCCCCTTCAAATCCCAAAGAAAACTCAAAAAAATTCCTGAAAAATACAAAAAAAATTCAAAATAAATCCCCCAAAAACGCCAAATACCACCCCCAAAAATTGTATAAACCTCCAAAAAATTCCCAAAAATCCCCAAAGAAAACCTGTCCAAAAATCCTAATAAAGCCAAAAAATTTCCTAAAAAAATCCACAAAAATATTCCCAAAAAGTCCCCAAAAAAATCCCCCAAAAATTCTGGGGGGATTTTCCTGTCCCAAACCTGCAGGGAGGGGGAAAAATGGGAAAATCTCCCCAAAAAATTGCGAAGAAAAAGGGAAAAAAATCAACCAAAAATCCCAATGAAAATCCAAAAGGAAAAAAACCCAACGGAACCTACCCCAAAAATTCCTAAAAAATAAAAATAAAAGAACAAAAAATCCACAGAAAACCCCAAAAAACCCCAAAAAACCCAAAGAAATCCCCCAAAAATCCTACAAATACAAAAAAAACCCTAAAAACATCTCCAAAAAACCTCAAACAAAATAAAAAAAAAACCCAAAGAAACCCTACCCCAAAAATGCTATAAATAAAAAAAATCCTAAAAAAAGTTAAAAAATCTCCAAGAATCCCCCCAAAAAATCCCGTAAATCCCAAAAAATTACCCCAAAATCCCCCCAAAAAAACCCCATAAAATTCTCCAAAATATCCCCCAAAATCTCAGAAAATTCCCAAAAAATCCCCTCAAAAAACCATAAAATTCTCTCAAAAAGTCCCAGAAAATTCCCAAAAAAATCATCCCAAAATTCCATGAAATCTCCCCAAAAATTCCCCTCCCCAAGGGGGAAAAAATGGGAAAATTGGGAATTCCAGAGGGAGGGAGCAGTGCTGGGAGAATTCACAACAAAAATTCCAAAAAAATTGAGAAAAAAAAAAAAAGCTAAAAAAAATTCCCATCAATCCCCAAAAAATCCTCCAAAACACAAAAAAATACTCAAAATATTCCCCCCAAAAATCCATAAAATTAAAAAAAATTCCCCAAACAATCCTGGAAATCCAAAAAAAGTCAAAAATCCCCCAAAACAACAACAAAGAACTCTGAAATTCCCCCCAAAATCCATAAAATTAAAGAAAAAAATTCCAGAAAACTTCCCCAAAAAATTCCCCAAAATTCACATAAAAATCCCATAAATCTCAAAAGAAAATCCCTGAAAATCCCCAAGAGCTCCCAAAAAAAAAAAACCAACCTAAAATGCCAAAAAGAATCCACATAAAAAAAAATCTGACCAAAAATCCATCAAATAAAAAAAGATTTCCCCCAAAAATTCCAAAATATCCCCCAAAATCTCAGAAAATTCCCAAAAAATCCCCTCAAAAAACCATAAAATTCTCTCAAAAAGTCCCAGAAAATTCCCAAAACAATAATCCGAAAATTCCATGAAATCTCCCCAAAAATTCCCCTCCCCAAGGGGGAAAAAATGGGAAAATTGGGAATTCCAGAGGGAGGGAGCAGTGCTGGGAGAATTCACAAAAAAATTCCAAAAAAATTGCAAAAAAAAAAAGCTAAAAAAAATTCCCATCAATCCCCAAAAAATCCTCCAAAACACAAAAAAATACTCAAAATATTCCCCCCAAAAATCCATAAAATTAAAAAAAATTCCCCAAACAATCCTGGAAATCCAAAAAAAGTCAAAAATGCCCCCAAAACAACAACAAAAAATGCTGAAATTCCCCCCAAAATCCATAAAATTAAAGAAAAAAACTCCAGAAAACTTCCCCAAAAAATCCCCCAAAATTCACATAAAAATCCCACAAATCTCAAAAGAAAATCCCTGAAAATCCCCAAGAGCTCCCAAAAAAAAAAAACCAACCTAAAATGCCAAAAAGAATCCACATAAAAAAAATCTGACCAAAAATCCATAAAATAAAAAAAGATTTCCCCCAAAAATTAAAAAAAATCCCGTAAAATTAATTAAAAAATCCCATAAATCCCCCCAAAAAAATTCCCCCCAAAATTCCCAAAATGTTCCCCCCAAGAAGTCCCTAAAATTAGGAAGAAACTCCCCCAAAAAATGTAAAAAAAAAATCCATAAAATTAAAAATAATTTTTTTTTATTCCCAAAAAAATTCCCAAAAAAATCCACAAAGAAAAATGGGAATGAAATCTGGGAATAAAAACCGGGAATGGGAACGGAGAGGGGAGCCAGGGCCGGGAACGGGGTCAGGGACTGCGGGGGGAAACGGGAATAAAAACTGGGAATGGGAATGGGGATGGGGATGGGGATGGAATGCAATAATGAGATAATGGGAAAATGAGATAATGGGATAATGAGAATGGGGATGGGAATGGGATAATGGGAATGGAAATGGGGATGGGATTGTGAAAAATGGGAATGGAAATGGAAAAAAGGGGAATGGGAATGAGGATAGGGATGGGAAGAATGGGAATGGGATAATGGGAATGGGGATGGGGAATGGGAATTATTTAATTTATTTTACTTTATCCATTCGATTTACTACATTTAATGAGTTCAGCTAACGAGTTAATGTCATTAATTGCCTTCGGCACTCCCGCTGACTGGCGGTTCTGCAGCAATCCTGAATTCATATCTGTTTCTTTTTCTATATTACATACACATATTTATTATTCCACTTATTCCATTCACTTTATCCATTCGATTTCTTTCCTTTAATTAATTTAGCTAATTAGTTAACGTCACTAATTGCGTTTTGCACTCACGCTGACTGGAGGTTCTGCAGCGATTCTGATTTCGTATTTACTTTACGTGTTTTCCATGTTACCTATATTTATTATTTAATTTATTTTACTTTATCCATTTGATTTTTTCCATTTAATTAATGTACTTAACGAGTTAATGCCATTAATTGCTTTTTGCACTCACACTGACTGGAGGTTCTGCAGCAATTCTGATTTCATATTTACCTTATGTGCTTTTTTATATTCCATCTATTTATTATCCCATTGATTTAATTTACTTTATCCATTTGATTTTTCTCGTTTAATGGGTTTAGCTAATTAGTTAATGTCACTAATTGCCTTTGGCACTCAGGCTGACTGGAGGTTCTGCAGCAATTCTCATTTCACACTTATGTCTTTTCTATATTACATATATTTATTATCCCATTGATTTCATTTTACTTTATCCATTTGATTTATTACATTTAATTAATTTAGCTAATGAGGTAATGTGATTAATTGTGGGCACTCACGCTGACTGGAGGTTCTGCAGCGATTCTGATTTCATATTTACTTTATGTGCTTTTTTACATTATATTTACTATTCCACTTATTCCATTCACTTTATCCATCCGATTTATTGCATTTAATGAGTTCAGCTAACGAGGTAACGTGATTAATTGCGTGTGGCACTCACGCAGACGCGCAGCTCCTGGAGGAAGTTTCCCAGCAGGGCGCGGCCGAGGCCGAGGGCGCGCTGCCGCTCCGGAGCCCGCGGGGAGCGGATCCAGGGCCCTAAGTGCTGGGAACGGGGAATCCTGGGATCCCAGGGAATCCCGGAATTCCGGGAAATCCGGGAATTCCGGGGGAAATCCGGGAATTCCAGGGCCCCAAGTGCTGGGAACGGGGAATCCTGGGATCCCAGGGAATCCCGGAATTCCGGGAAATCCGGGAATTCCGGGGGAAATCCGGGAATTCCAGGGCCCTAAGTGCTGGGAACGGGGAATCCTGGGATCCCAGGGAATCCCGGAATTCCGGGAAATCCGGGAATTCCGGGGGAAATCCGGGAATTCCAGGGCCCTAAGTGCTGGGAACGGGGAATCCTGGGATCCCAGGGGAATCCCGGAATTCCGGGAATTCCAGGGGGGAAAAATCCCAGGATCCAGGGCCCCAAGTGCTGGGAACGGGGAATCCTGGGATCCCAGGGAATCCCGGAATTCCGGGGGGGAAATCCCGGGGGGAAAAATCCCGGGATTCCAAGGGGAAAATCCTGGAATTCTACAGGGAAAATCCTGGGATTCTGGGGGGAAAAATCCGGGAATTCCAGGGGGAAAATCCCAGAGGGAAAAATCCCACAATTCCAGAGAGAAAATCCTGGTATTCTACAGGGAAAATCCTGGGATTCTAAAGGGAAAATCCCAGGAAAATGCTGGAATTCCGCAGAAAAAATCTTGGAATTCTGGCAGGAAAAATCCTGTAATTCCAAAGGGAAAACTCTGGAATTCTGAAGGGATAATCCTGGAATTCTGACAGATAAATCTTGGAATTCTGGTGGGAAAATCCTGGGATTCTACGGGGAAAAACTTGGAATTCTTGCAGGGAAATCCTGGAATTCCGGTGGGAAAATCCTTGGACGGATCGATCCCACTTTTCCTGGGATAAACCCCAGAGCTGTTCCTTGGAATTTCCCCATTCCCGATTTCCCACCCCCATTCCCAGAATTCCCATTCCAAATTTTCCCTCCCCATTCCCATTCCCATGCTTCCCGTTGGCAGAATTCCCAGAATTCCCAATCCCATTCCAACGCCCTCCCATTATTCCCAAAATCCCCATTCCCAATTTCCATTCCCCTTCCCAGAATTCCCAGAATTCCCAAAATTCCCAGTTTCACCTTCCCATTCTTCCCATAATACCCAGAATTCCCATTCCCAATCCCATTCCTTGGACTTCCCTCATTCCCGTTATTCCCAGAATTCCCATTATTCCCATTCCCTGGAATTTCCCCATTCCCAGAATTCCCAGAAATCTCAAAATTCCCATTCCCAGAATTTCCAGAATCCCCATTCCCTGGAATTTCCTTATTCCCATTCCCAGAATTCCCATAAATCCCAAAACTCCCATTCCCAGAACTGTCAGAATTCCCATCCCCAATATTCCCATTCCCAGAATTCCCAGAATTCCCACAATTCCCATCTCCAATTTCCCATTCCTTGGAATTCCCAGAATTCCCATCCCAAATTTCCCCTTCCCATTCCCAGAATTCCCAGAATTCCCACAATTCCCATCTCCAATTTCCCATTCCTTGGAGTTCTCCCATTCCCATTCCAAATTTCCCATCCCCATTCCCAGAATTCCGGGAATTCCCAATCCCAATGTCCCCATTTCCCATTCCATCCCCACCCCGTTATTCCCAAAATTCCCATTCCCAATTTCCCATCCCCATTCCCATTCCCAGAATTCCCAAAACTCTCAGAATTCTCATTCCCATTCCCATTATTCCCAGAGTTCCCATTATTCCCATCCCAAATTTCCCATTCCCTGGAATTTCCAAATTCCCAGAATTCTTGGAATTCCCTCATTCCCATTCCCAGAATTCCCATCCCATGGAATTTTTCCTTTCCCATTCCCAGTACCCCCGAAATTCCCAGAATTCCCACTCCATCCCCAATCCCAGAATTCCTATTCCTGCAATTCCCATTCCCAATTTCCCCTTCCCATTATTCCCAGAATCTCCATTCCCAATTTTCCATCCCCATTCCCTGAATTCCCAACTTCCCAGAATTCCCAGAATTCCCATTCCTTGGAATTCCCATTCCCTGGAATTTCCCCATTCCCAGAATTCCCAGAAATCTCAAGATTCCCATTCCCAGAATTTCCAGAATCCCCATTCCCAGAATTCCCATAAATCCCAGAACTCTCAGAATTCCCATCCCCAATATTCCCATTCCCAGAATTCCCAGAATTCCCACAATTCCCATCTCCAATTTCCCATTCCTTGGAATTCCCAGAATTCCCATCCCAAATTTCCCCTTCCCATTCCCAGAATTCCCAGAATTCCCAGAATTCCCACTCCCATTCCTCCCACACCCAGAATTCCCATTCCATGGAATTTTCCCATTCCCAATTTTTCAATCCCATTAAAATTGTCATTCCCGGAATTCCCAAAATTCCCACTCCATCCCCAATCCCAGAATTCCTATTCCTGCAATTCCCATTCCCAATTTCCCCTTCCCATTATTCCCAGAATCTCCATTCCCAATTTTCCATCCCCATTCCCTGAATTCCCAACTTCCCAGAATTCCCAGAATTCCCATTCCTTGGAATTCCCATTCCCTGGAATTTCCCCATTCCCATTCCCAGAATTCCCAATTTTCCATTCCCAGAATTCCCATCCCAAAATTTCCCACCCCCATTCCCAGAATTCCGAGAATTCCCAATCCCAATTTCCCCATTTCCCGTTCCTGGAATTCCCAGAAATCCCAGGATTCCCATTCCCAGGTTCCATCCCCATTCCCAGAATTCCCAAATTCCCAGAATTCCTGGAATTCTCACGATCCCAAAAGGTCCCAAAAGCTCCCGGAGCCGCCTCACACTTCCCAAAATTCCCCAAATAATTCCCAAAATTCCTAAAAGAATTCCTGTCATACCCCAAATAATTCCAGAAATTCCCAAAAAACTCCCAGAATTCCCAAATTAATTCCCAGAATTCCCAAAATCCTGAGCTAATTCCCAAAATGTTTCCCAAAATTCCTCAAAAAAAAAAAAAAATCCCAAATAATTTCCCAAATAATTCCCAGAATTCCCCAAAAAATCTCCACAATCCTCCAAAGAATTCCTGAACTGATTTCAAAAATTCCCCCCAAAACTCCCAAAATTCCCCAAAAACAGCTCCGGAACTTCCTGAAATTCCCAAAACAATTCCCAAAATTCCCAAAATCAATCCCAGAATTCCCCAAAATTTCCAAAAATCCCAAAATCCTTCCCAAAATCCATAAAAATCCTCAACTCATTCCCAAAATTCCCAAAATTCCCCCCAAAATTGCCCAAAATTCCCCCAAAACAACTCCTGAACTTCCTGAAATTCCTGAAATAATTCCCAAAATTCCCAAAATCAATCCCAGAATTCCCCAAAATTTCCAAAAATCCCAAAATCCTTCCCAAAATCCACAAAAATCCTCAACTCATTCCCAAATTTCCCCCAAAATAACCCCCAGAATTCTCCCAAAACAGCTCCTGAACTTCCTGAAATTCCCCAAATAATTCCTAAAATTCCCCAAATCAATCCCAGAATTCCCAGAATTCCCAAAAAATCCCCAGGCACTCACGGCAAAGAGCTCCTGGAAATCCCAAAATTCCCCTGAAATTCCCAAAATAACCCCCAGAATTCCCCCAAAACAGCTCCTGAACTTCCTGAAATTCCCGAAACAATTCCCAAAATTCCCGAAACAATTCCCAAAATTCCCAAAATAATTCCCAGAATTCCCAAAATAATTCCCAGAACTCACAAAAATCCTCAACTAATTCCCAAAATTCCCCCAGAACTCCCCAAAATTCCCCCAAAACAAGTCCTGAACTTCCTGAAATTTCCCCAAATCAATCCCAGAATTCCCAGAATTCCCAAAATTCCCGAAATTCCCAAAAATCCCCCGGCACTCACGGCAAAGAGCTCCTGGAGGCCGCTGGGGCCGCGGCGCCGCCGCAGCAGCTCCTGGAGCAGCTCCTGCAGAGCCCCCACAGCGTCCTCCAGCAGGTCCGGGGGGAAATCCTGGAAAAAATCCCGGAATTCTGGGCTTGGGAAAACCCCTGGAATTCCCCAAGCCGGCCCAGCCATGGTTATCCCGGGAAAAAAATGGGAATTTTGGGGTTTTTCCCCATTTTTGGGGTCAAATTCTTGTGGAGGAGGAAAGGAGCATGTTAAAAAACCCAGGGAAATTCGGGAAAAGGAAAAAAATTCAGGAATTTTGGGCTTGGAAAAATCCCTGGAATAAATTCCTAAAAGAATTCCTGTCATGCCCCAAATAATTCCAGAAATTCCCAAAAAACTCCCAGAATTCCCAAAATAATTCCCAGAATTCCCAAAATCCTGAGCTAATTCCCAAAATGTTTCCCAAAATTCCTCAAAAAAAAAAAAAAATCCCAAATAATTTCCCAAATAATTCCCAGAATTCCCCAAAAAATCTCCACAATCCTCCAAAGAATTCCTGAACTGATTTCAAAAATTCCCCCCAAAACTCCCAAAATTCCCCAAAAACAGCTCCGGAACTTCCTGAAATTCCCAAAACAATTCCCAAAATTCCCAAAATCAATCCCAGAATTCCCCAAAATTTCCAAAAATCCCAAAATCCTTCCCAAAATCCATAAAAATCCTCAACTCGTTCCCAAAATTCCCAAAATTCCCCCCAAAATTGCCCAAAATTCCCCCAAAACAACTCCTGAACTTCCTGAAATTCCTGAAATAATTCCCAAAATTCCCGAAATAATTCCAAGAATTCCCGAAAATTCCCGAAATCCCCCGGGCACTCACAGCAAAGAGCTCCTGGAAATCCCGAAATTCCACCCAAAATATCCCCCAGAACTCCCCAAAACAACTCCTGAACTTCCTGAAATTCCCCAAATAATTCCTAAAATTCCCCAAATCAATCCCAGAATTCCCAGAATTCCCAAAAAATCCCCAGGCACTCACGGCAAAGAGCTCCTGGAAATCCCAAAATTCCCCTGAAATTCCCAAAATTCCCCCCAGAGCTCCCCAAAACAGCTCCTGAACTTCCTGAAATTCCCGAAACAATTCCCAAAATTCCCGAAACAATTCCCAAAATTCCCAAAATAATTCCCCAAACTCACAAAAATCCTCAACTAATTCCCAAAATTCCCCCAGAACTCCCCAAAATTCCCCCAAAACAAGTCCTGAACTTCCTGAAATTTCCCCAAATCAATCCCAGAATTCCCAAAATTCCCAAAATTCCCGAAATTCCCAAAAATCCCCCGGCACTCACGGCAAAGAGCTCCTGGAGGCCGCTGGGGCCGCGGCGCCGCCGCAGCAGCTCCTGGAGCAGCTCCTGCAGAGCCCCCACAGCGTCCTCCAGCAGGTCCGGGGGGAAATCCTGGAAAAAATCCCGGAATTCTGGGCTTGGGAAAACCCCTGGAATTCCCCAAGCCGGCCCAGCCATGGTTATCCCGGGAAAAAATGGGAATTTTGGGGTTTTTCCCCATTTTTGGGGTCAAATTCTTGTGGAGGAGGAAAGGAGCATGTTAAAAAACCCAGGGAAATTCGGGAAAAGGAAAAAAATTCAGGAATTTTGGGCTTGGAAAAATCCCTGGAATTCCCCAAGCCATCCCAGCCATGGATATCCCGGGAAAAAAATGGGAATTTTGGGGTTTTTCCCCATTTTTGGGGTCAGTTTAATTCCCAGAACTCACAAAAATCCTCAACTAATTCCCAAAATTCCCCCAGAACTCCCCAAAATTCCCCCAAAACAAGTCCTGAACTTCCTGAAATTTCCCCAAATCAATCCCAGAATTCCCAGAATTCCCAAAATTCCCGAAATTCCCGAAATCCCCGGGCACTCACGGCAAAGAGCTCCTGGAGGCCGCTGGGGCCGCGGCGCCGCCGCAGCAGCTCCTGGAGCAGCTCCTGCAGAGCCCCCACAGCGTCCTCCAGCAGGTCCGGGGGGAAATCCTGGAAAAAATCCCGGAATTCTGGGCTTGGGAAAACCCCTGGAATTCCCCAAGCCGGCCCAGCCATGGTTATCCCGGGAAAAAAATGGGAATTTTGGGGTTTTTCCCCATTTTTGGGGTCAAATTCTTGTGGAGGAGGAAAGGAGCATGTTAAAAAACCCAGGGAAATTCGGGAAAAGGAAAAAAATTCGGGAATTTTGAGCTTGGAAAAATTCCTGGAATTCCCCAAGCCATCCCAGCCATGGTTATCCCGGGAAAAAAAATGGGAATTTTGGGGTTTTTCCCCATTTTTGGGGTCGTTTTTGGTGAATGAGGCCTTGGAAATCCCAGAATTGTCTGGGAAAAATAAAAATCCCGGAATTTTGGGCTTGGAAAAAACCTTGGATGTCACAAATCCATCCTGTCCACGGTTATCCCCAAAAAAAAATGGGAATTTTGGGATTTTTCCCGATTTTTGGGTCAATTTTTGGTGAATGAGGCCTTGGAAAACCCTGGAATAATTTGGGAAAGGAAAAAAAATTGGGAATTTTGGGCTTGGAAAAATTCCTGGAAATCCCCAGTTCAGTCAGAGTCATCATTATCCCAGAAAAAAAATGGGAATTTTGGGATTTTTCCCGATTTTTGGGGGTGAATTCTTGTGGATGAGGCATAATTTGGGAAAGGAAGAAATCTGGGAATTTTGGGCTTGGAAAAATCCCTGGAAGTTCCAAATCCATCCCAGGAAATAGGAAAGGGAATGGGAATGGTGAGAAAAATGGGAATGATGGGAAAGAAAATTCCCATTTTTCCCACAGGACCTGGGGCCGGGATTCCCACCCGGGAGAGAATTCCCAGAAAATCTCGAAAAATGGAAAAATTGGGAATGGGAAAAGTGGAAATTTGGGAATGGGAATAATGGGAAAAATGGGAATGGAAAAAATTGGGAATGAGGAAGGAAATTCCCACAAGACCTGGGGCTGGAATTCCCACCCGGGAGAGAATTCCCAGAAAATCTCGAAAAATGGAAAAATGTGGGAAAAATGTGAAAAATGGGAAACCAGGAATGGGAAAAACGGGAAGTGGAAAAATTGGGAATGAGGAAGGAAATTCTCACAGGACCTGGGGCCGGAATTCCCACCCAGGGGAGAATTCCCAGAAAATCTCGAAAAATGGAAAAACTGGGAATGGGAAAAATGGGGAAAATGGGAAAAATGGGAAAAATGGGAAAAACAGGAATGGAAAAATTTGGAACGAGGAAAGAAATTCCCAAGGGAGCTGGGGCAGAATTCCCACCCAGGAGAGAATTCCCAGAAAATCTGGAAGAATGGAAAAGTTGGGAATGGGAAAAATTGGAATTTGGGAATGGGAAAAATGGGAAAAATGGGAAAATGGAAAAATGGGAATGGAAAAATGGGGAAAATGGGAAAAATGGGAAAAAGTAAAAATGTAAAAATGGGAATTGGGAACGAGGAAAGAAATTCCCATTTTTCCCACAGGATCTGGGGCAGAATTCCCACCCGGGATAAAGTTTCCAGAAAATCTCAATGGAAAAGTTGGGAATGGGAAAAATGGGAAAAATGGGAAAAATGGGAAAAATGGGAAAAATGGGAATGGAAAGATTTGGAACGAGGAAGGAAATTCCCAAGGGATCTGGGGCAGAATTCCCACCCGGGAGAGAATTCGCAGAAAATCTGGAAGAATGGAAAAGTTGAGAATAGGAAAAATGGGAATGGGAAACATGGGAAAAATGGGGAAAATGGGAATGGAAAGATTTGGAACGAGGAAGGAAATTCCCAAGGGATCTGGGGCAGAATTCCCACCCGGGAGAGAATTCGCAGAAAAGCTGGAAGAATGGAAAACTTGAGAATAGGAAAAATGGGAATGGAAAAATGGGAGAAATGGGAATGGAAAAATGGGAAAAATGGGAAGGGAAAAATGGGAAAAATGGGAAGGGAAAAATGGGAACAATAGGAGTGGAAAAATTGGGAATGAGGAAGGAAATTCCCACAAGACCTGGGGCTGGAATTCCCACCCGGGAGAGAATTCCCAGAAAATCTCGAAAAATGGAAAAATTGGGAATGGGAAAAATGGGGAAAATGGGAAAAATGGGAAAAATGGGAAAAACAGGAATGGAAAAATTTGGAACGAGGAAAGAAATTCCCAAGGGAGCTGGGGCAGAATTCCCACCCAGGAGAGAATTCCCAGAAAATCTGGAAGAATGGAAAAGTTGGGAATGGGAAAAATTGGAATTTGGGAATGGGAAAAATGGGAAAAATGGGAAAATGGAAAAATGGGAATGGAAAAATGGGGAAAATGGGAAAAATGGGAAAAAGTAAAAATGTAAAAATGGGAATTGGGAACGAGGAAAGAAATTCCCATTTTTCCCACAGGATCTGGGGCAGAATTCCCACCCGGGATAAAGTTTCCAGAAAATCTCAATGGAAAAGTTGGGAATGGGAAAAATGGGAAAAATGGGAAAAATGGGAAAAATGGGAATGGAAAGATTTGGAACGAGGAAGGAAATTCCCAAGGGATCTGGGGCAGAATTCCCACCCGGGAGAGAATTCGCAGAAAATCTGGAAGAATGGAAAAGTTGAGAATAGGAAAAATGGGAATGGGAAACATGGGAAAAATGGGAATGGAAAACATGGGAAAAATGGGAAAAATAGGAATGGAAAAATGGGAAAAATGGGAAGGGAAAAATGGGAACAATAGGAGTGGAAAAATTGGGAATGAGGAAGGAAATTCCCATTTTTCCCACAGGACCTGGGGCGGAATTCCCACCCGGGAGCGAATCCCCAACCGTTCGGAGCTGCCCCATCCCAGCAGGACCCGAAGAACCCGGACACGGGGACGGCCATGAAGGAAATTCCCACAGGATCTGGGGCTGGAATTCTCACCCAGGACAGAATTCCCAGAAAATGGGAAAAATGGGAAAAATGGGAAAAATGGGAAACCAGGAATGGGAAAAATGGGAAATGGAAAAATTGGGAATGTGGAAGGAATTTCCCACAGGATCTGGGGCAGAATTCCCACCCGGGATAAAGTTTCCAGAAAATCTCAATGGAAAAGTTGGGAACGGGAAAAATGGGAATGGGAAACATGGGAAAAATGGGAAGGGAAAAATGGGAAAAATGGGAAAAATAGGAATGTGAAAAATTGGAATTTGGGAATGGGAAAAATGGGAAAAATTGGAAACATGGGAAACATGGGAAAAATGGGAATGGAAAAATGGGAGAAATGGGAATGGAAAAATGGGAAAAATGGGAAGGGAAAAATGGGAACAATAGGAGTGGAAAAATTGGGAATGAGGAAGGAAATTCCCATTTTTCCCACAGGACCTGGGGCGGAATTCCCACCCGGGAGCGAATCCCCAACCGTTCGGAGCTGCCCCATCCCAGCAGGACCCGAAGAACCCGGACACGGGGACGGCCATCCCGCTGTCCCCCAATCCCGTTTCCCCCGGATCCGGCGCAGTGCCCACCTGGGCCGGGGGCGGCTCCCGGGTTTTGGGGGGCTCCAGCGGGGGCACCCCCAGCACCGAGGCCAGCGCCGTGGCCAGCAGCTCCCAGCGCTCCGCCTCGCCCAGCGGCGGCTCCAGGGCGCTGCGATCCCGGGATGAGGAAAATCCGGGAATGGGAACGGCCCCGGGGGGAGGGCAGGGAGATCCGGGGGGTTAGGGGGAGGTATTGGGGATTATTGGGGATTTAATGGAAATTATTGGAGATTAATGGGAATTAATAGATATTTATTGGGGATTAATAGGGATTTATTGGAAGTTATTGGGGATTTATGGGGATTTATTGGGGATTAATGGGGATTTACTGGGAATTATTGGAAGTTATTGGGGATTTATTGGGAGTTATTGGGGATTTAATGGGAATTATTGGGGATTAATAGGAATTTATTGGGAGTTATTGGGATTTATTAGGAATTAATGGGAATGTATTGGGATTTATTGGGAATTATTGGGGATTTTGGGGGATAATTGGGGATTAATGGGGATTTATTGAGATTTATTGGGTATTTATGGGGATTTACTGGGGATTAATGGAAGTTATTGGGGATTATTGGGAGTTATTGGGGACTATTGGGGATTAATGGGGATTTATTGGGGATTTATTAGGAGTTATTTGGGACTTATTGGGGACTAACGGGGATTTATTGGGAATTATCGGGGATTTGTTGGGAATTATCGGGGATTATTGGGGATTAATGAGGATTATCAGGGATTTATTGGGTATTTATTGGACATAATCGGGGATTAATGGGGATTTATTGGGGATTAATGGAAATTTATTGAGTTTTATTGGAAGTTATTGGGAATTTATTGGGAATTACTGGGGGTTATTGGGAGTTCCCAGAAGTCCCAAGGACCCAACCCCAAATCCCAAACCCAGAATCCCCAGGGGTCTCTGCGCTCCCGGAATTCCCGGATTTTGGGAATTCTGGGAATTGCCCAGGACCCAAACCCAGAATTCCCAGGGGTCTCCGAGCTCCCGGAATTCATGAAATTTTGGGAATTCCCAAGGACCCAATCCAGGAATTCCCAGGGGGCTCCGGAACTCCTGGAATCCCGGGATTTTGGGAATATTGGGAATTCCCAAGGACCCAACCCCAAACCCCAATCCCAGAGTTCCCAGGGAGCTCCAGAACTCCCGGAATCTCGAGATTTTGGGAATTCTGAGGATTCCCAAGGAGGACCCAACCCCAAACCCCAATCCCGGAGTTCCCAGGGGTCCCCAGGCTCCCGGAATCCCGGGATTTCGGGAATTTTGGGAACTCCCAAGGACCCAACCCCAAACCCCAATGTGGGAATTCCCAGGGGTCCCCGAGCTCCAGAATACCGGGATTTTGGGAATATTGGGAATTCCCAAGGAGGCCCCAACCCCACACCCCAATCCCGGAGTTCCCGGGGTCCCCGAGCTCCGGAATCCCGGGATTTGGGAATTCCCAAGGAGGACCCAACCCCACACCCCGATCCCGGAGTTCCCAGGGGTCCCCGAGCCCCGGAATCCCGGGATTTTGGGAATTCCCAAGGAGGCCCCAACCCCACACCCCAATGTGGGAATTCCCAGGGGTCCCCGAGCCCCGGAATCCCGGGATTTGGGAATTCCGGGCACGCCAGGATACACCAGGTGTGCGCAGGCGCTCAGCGCTCGCTGCCGCAGCCGCGTCCGCGGCGGCTCCGGGGGCTCCGCACGCAGGAACTCCTGCGGGAGAAACATCGGGAACGGAATGCTCCGGAATGTCCCCGGGGGAATGTTCCGGAATGTCCCCGCCGGAATGTTCCGGAATGTCCCCTCAAGAACGTTCCTTCGGGATTGTTCTGGAATGTTCCTTTGGGAATGTTCCAGAATGTCCCCTCTGGAAAGTTCCACAGGGATCCAGCGGGATCTAGTATCCCATCCCAGTCCCATCCCAGTCCATCCCAGTGCCTCCCAGTCCCCCTAAATCCATCCCAATCTCTCCCAATCCCATTCCCAGTCCATCCCAGTATCCCGTCCCAGTCCTCCCAGTCCCCATTCCCAATTCCTCCCCGACCCTTCCAGTATCCATTCTCCCATCCTAGTCTATCCCAGTCCATCCCAATCCCATCCCAATCCCTCCCAGTCTCCCCCAGTCCCATCCCAATCTCTCCCAGTCCATCCCAGTTTGGTCCC